CAGTGATGTCTGCAATACCAGCACAACATTCTTTCCTGTCAGCTTCTGCAATTTGATCGTGACTTTCACTGCTATTGCCTGGTCATCTTTGCTTCTGCTCTGTGTTCTTTTTTTTGGGGGGGGGTCCGTCGTGGGGTCTGAACTCTGGGCCTGGGCGCTGTCCCTCAGCCCTTTAGCTCAAGGCTAGCACTCTACCACTTGAGCCACAGCGCCGGTCCGTCGTGGGGTCTGAACTCTGGGCCTGGGCGCTGTCCCTCAGCTCTTCAGCTCAAGGCTAGCACTCTACCACTTGAGCCACAGCGCCACTCCGGCTTTTTTTTCTGCTTATGTTGTACTGAGGAATCGAACCCAGGGCCTCAAGTATGCAAGGCAAGTGCTCTACCACTGAGCCACCTTCCCAGCCCCTCCATAAGACTCATCTCCAATTAACCATCAAAAGCTGGAAGTGAAGCTATAGCTCAAGTGGTAGCGTGTAAGACTTGAGCAAAAGAGCTCAGGGACAGCGCCCAGGCCCTAAGTTCAAGCCTCAGGACTGGCGTGCGCGTGCGCGCGCACGCACACACACACACACACACACACACACACGACATATTCAGTTAAAAACACATAAATAATTTTACTTTTACTACTCTATGTTGAAAAGCTCGCTATCTAAATGCAATTCCATTCAACTCTAACTACAATCTATATTTCCTTCCATTGCTTTAGGGACTCACAAACCTTCCCAGGTTTTTGAAACGTCAACAGTTTCATATTCCAGTCTTATATTTTTCCAAATATTAGTTTTCTATAATATGTTCTGAATCACACTGCTAATGAAAACCTTATTATTGCTTAAGGCAAGCACCCCAGCACACTTAAAAGTCCAGGCTGGTTTTTATAATCTTTTCTCACAGAACTGAACTATAAAATGAAACAAAAGGAATTAAAAATTCATGGTACTTCTGTAATCAGCATGAAAGAATAAAGATTGAAAACACTGTGGTCGTAAACATCAAACACTTCATAAGCCTTTGAAAAGGCAGTGAGAAATGCCATGTGGGATCCAAGAAGCTCACATGGGCTGCCCACAAGCAAGCACACCGAACTTACTAACAATTCATCAAGTTAAGACATTAGTATCTCCACATGGGTAAATGCTGGCTGTATTAAAAATATGACAAGCCAGCTAGGGCTTGTATGCTGTGAATAATTTGCTTTAGACTAGCAAGTTAAGTCTCCCTGTTTATTTCTTTTGTAATATTAATTAGAGAGTTCTGCAAGTGGTAGATACTTGTGAGTGTGAGTAAAAAAGAAGCCCATCCAAGCTCAAGATCAAAACCTCAAACTCCTTGTGAAGACCAAAATTCACTGTGATGACCAAACATTCACACTCTGTCACTTGAAGACAGCGCATTTGCATCTCACTGTGAAGACAGAAGAGTCACACTTCACTGTGGAAACAGATATTCACACCTCACTCTACACTCTCCTCACTATGAAGACAGAACAGTCACATCTGGTTGTGAAAACAGAACCTTCTCTCAGCTCACCTCACTATGAAGACAACTATTCACACCTCAAGACGAAAACAAACCACTCACACCTCACTGTGAAGACACAGCACTCAGATCTTACTGCGAAAACAAATCACTCACATCTCACTGTGAAGACAACTATTCACACCTCACTGTGAAGACACAGTGCTCAGATTTCACAGTGAAAACAGAAGTTCACATCTCACAGTGAAGACAGAACACTCCCTGTGAAGATAGAACACTCATCTCCCTGTGAAACAGAACACCCACACCTCACACCTGTGATGACAGAATTCACACCTCACTGAAAAGACACAGAACTCAAGAGTCCTAAAAACATTAATAGTGGGAGGTTAAGCAGAGCAAGAGGGAGTGAAGAGACTGTCAACAGATTGCTGCTGTAAGGAGAAGATGGGAACTGAAGCTGGCTTTGGCTTCTAGATTGTTGAGGTGTGGAACTCATGCAAAGACCTTTCTAGAACTCGGTGGTACCCTTGCGACCTGTGGGCCCACCAGCCAGGAACCACCAGCAGAGTACAGAACACTCAGAAGGCTAGTTCAGAGGAGTGTCCCTGCTGGAACATGTACATGTACCGCAGCCTGGACCTCCTGCTCCTCACCTGGTCCAGGTAGGACCCGTACCAAAACCGGGGAGGGACACCCTACTACCCCTGCTCCTACTGCTTTATCTTTCACACAGGGCTTCCTAAATCACCTCACCTCAACCTCACCTCATCTCCTCTGAGCACTGAAACAGCTCAGCTACCTATTTTGAAAACAACACACTTCATGAAACAACTTTTGAAACAATTATTTTTTTTTTTGCTGGTCCTGGGGCTTGAACTCAGGACCTGAGCATAGTCCCTGAGCTTCTGTTCAAGGCTACCTTGACCAACAGCATCAGTTCTGGTCTTTTCAGAGTAGTTTATTGGAGAGGATTGTCCTGCCCAGGCTGGCTTTGAATTGAGATCCTCAGATCTCAGCCTCCTGAGTAGGTAGGAGTATAGGTGTGAGCCAGTGGAGCCTGGCTAACAATTGTTTTTACTATAAAAATTTTTGATACCTTTGAAGATATAAAATGTATGTGCTGTGGTTAGTGAAATATTCACTGAAGTGATCCTACTCCTAAGTTTATCTGCCTAGGAGCATGTCTCCCTAACTTTACTATTATTAGTCTTTGTTTAAACAAACTCCTATATTTGGATCCATTATTTTATTCACTGAGCTGTTCTCCGCATTATAAAAAAGTAGAAGAGTAGAAATTGAAATGTGTATTAATTTAAAAGCTCATACACTGTGGGGTTTTCTTAGAGGCACGAGGATTTCAACTCGGAGGTCTGTACTTTCTAGGCAGAGGTCCATCTCTTGAGTCACATCTCAAGCCTTTTTGCTCTAGTTATTCTTTTAGGTAGGGTCTCACATTTCATTTAGAGCTGGTGTCAACAACAATCCTCCACATCTAGCCACTTAAGCTGAGATTTGAGCCACTGTGCCCAGGCGAAGAGTTTTTTCAATCAGTGTTTTATACGAGCAAAGGTCAAATGAACTCAGAGGGTGTCTCAGGTAGATTCCATCTACAGTGCTATGAGCCCTTCCATACACAGCAGGCCCACCGCGCAGTGCATGTGGTACACAGCGTAGCAGAAGCTGGTGCACCTGGCCGGTACGGTGGCCCCAGCAGTGGCTGCACAACACCGTGCACTCACAGAGCTGTCACCACACAGGCCCATCCAATCCTCAGTGACCTCCCGGCCCATCAAGAAATGGAGGCACAGGGTGATCTGTCTCTAACAGCACAGCTGGCAGGTAGCAGAATTAGGACTGGAACTCCGGTAGTCTATATGCCTCTTGCTGCTTTGCTAGTCAGCACCAGTGCAAAGAGCACGGCTTGACCCTAAGTGGATGACTTGGTTGACTAGGTTCATGAAACGCAAAGAGGGGCGCACAAAGGTCTCCTGTTACCATAAAATGCTAGGAGAGAGGACACCCAAAAGACCTGTTACCATAATACCATGTGGGCAAAGCAAATGCTCACAGAAGGGCCACAAGGCTTGTGTCTGAACATGTCCTATGAAATACCTGAGTCATGGGAACACAGGCTCCTCAAGAAACAGGGGCCGCCCCACAGGAGTGGCCAGCCATTCAGGCAGGGAGGGTGCAAAAATCAGCTGCACCTGGGCTGCAGCTCAAGACTCAGGAATGATCCACAGCGCTAGGCATTTACCTCTCTGGCACAGAGGATCTAAGAATTCTTGTAAGCCGTTAGGAATGTTTCTCACAACATCGCAGGAATAGCCATCTTCTGGCAAAAGAAAAGGCAGCTGCAGGTCCGGGTCCTCTTCTAGCTGCACGTCTCTGCCGTCACTGCGGGCAAGCTCATCAGCCGTATCCTCAGCGGCAGCCACCACAGTTTCTATAAGTTCCTATGAGAAAACAAGCTGAGTCACAAGATGCTCGCTAAGGCGAACGTGAGACTCCTGATGGCAGAGGCTATTTGCTCACCCCAGCAAGCTATCCTAGTGACGCATGACTGAGAGGTGTCTATCCAAGCCACAGGTGGGAACACTCAAAACCACACCCAAAATCTGCTCTGTAAAGTCACATACCTTAAATATGAAGTAAAATAGAAATTCTCAAATAGTCATAGCTTCACATAAAAAACATTTAATCACAAAAAGAAATGCTTCCCTTTTCCAAGGCAGTTTTTCTTAACATAATTAACATATTTGTTAATCAGTAAATAATCATTTTTTCTGAGAATGCTTAGTGACATTGGGAAAAACCTCCTATTATGTTAAAATATCTAAAAAGTCAAGATAAAATATTTGCATGGTATTTTGCCCATTTTGAAAATATATCAAAGTACAGTGGGTAATTTACATTTAAAGATATATTAATTGCTGAGCACTGGTGGCTCACATCTGTAATCCTAGCTACTCAAAAGGCTGAGTTCTGAAGATCTGGTTCAAAGCTAGCCTGGGCAAGAAAAGTCCATGAGATTCTTATCTCCAATTAACCACCAGCAAGTTGGAAGCAGAGCTGTAGTTCATGTGGTAGAGTGCCAGCTTTGAGCACAAAGGATTAGGGAGAGCACCTAAGCCAAGCTCAAGTCAAGCCCTAAAACCAGTGTATGTGCACGCGCGCACACATGCACACACGCACACACACACAGAGCCTATCATTAATATACAAGACACACAAGAAGGATTTATGAACTTTAGGTTCCAATTGTGCAGCTCAGTAAAATGAAGATACACACTCAGTTATCACTTCTACTTTAGGAAAATAGTATTGGCCCACAGAAGCTATCCATTCTTTACTGCCATTCCCTTTTTAACCCCAAGGGCATGGCTATCCAGGGCTGATAACCAATAAGATTAATTTTGTCTTGTTTCTAAATTTCAAACAAATGAAGCGAGTCTGCATATGTATACTTTGCATATGGAGTTTTTGAGGTAATAATATTTTATGATGCTATAATTCATTCTTCCTCATTGCAATGTTGTATTCCTTTATAATACTATGACATGATTTACTGATATCCCATGCTACTGAGTGGTGATTTCTAGGTTTAGGTTATTTTGTACCTGGTCTTTTAGTGGTATAAAACTCAATATGGAATGCTGGTTCATCCATCCACTCAATTTAATTAACAATCTCCAAGACACAGCAGGCTCTGATAGTGAGATAGTTCAGATATAAAGTGAATTAAAGGCTTGATCCCTGACACAGTTAAGATTTAGAGTTGAATCCCTTTCTATTTAAAATGTCTATTAATTTCCCCTCCTTGCACTAAACTCTATGTTTGATATCCACAGCAAGATATTATAAGCCAATATAAAATAACCTATCAAATGAACAAATTAGTTCACTAAATTTTTCTTGTTTCTTTCATCCAAATTTCCTTGTGCAAACATGCCCACATTTTTGTAGTTGAGATAACATTCACTTACCGTTGGGATGAAAGGCTCATCGGGTGCACAGTGGTAATTCTGTAACAAGGCTTGAAGTTGCAGAGAGTTTAACTTAAAGCAGGTACTACTAATGTTTGGAATGTCATCACGTGCATATTTATCCATAGTAAGTAAAGTAGTTGCCTATTCAAAAGAATGACATAAAATACAATTTGAAAGTATTTTTTTTTGGGGGGGGAGCCTGAAGATACAGCTTATAGTAGAACAAAGACCTATTAGATTCTGTGAGGACCTAGGTTTAAATTCTCAGTACCCCAAAGTACTTTATGCAATTTTTATAAAGCTAATAATTAATCCTTGAATACATAACTAAAAACACTTAATGCTATATATACCAAAAGCATTGTCTTGATACTTTTTGGTTTTTTTTTTTCATGCATGCTCTAGGACTTGAACTCAGATCCAGGGTGTATCCCTAAACTTTTTTTCCTCAATATTAGTACTTTACCACTTGGGCCACATCTCTTTTTCTGTCTTTCTGATGGTTAATTGGAGATAAATGAGTCTCAGTTTCCTGCCTGGGCTGGCTTCCAATTGCAGCCCTGAGATCTCAGCCTCACGCGCAGCTGGGATTACAGGTGTAAGCTTCCAGTTCCTGGCAGACACCCTCTTGATTTTACTAAAACACGTATATGATTAAATTCAATTAGTAGTATTTATAACCTGTGTCAACAGTTTTCTTTGAAAGTTTAAGCACTGACATACTAATTCATGTTACTAATCACAGGGATCTGACAGCCTCACCATAAGACATGGTGACTAACCAGTCTCAATCCCTTTAAAGGGGGGAAATAGGAAACAAAGTATACACTGAAAGAATTTTAAAACATTTTAGGTCTTAAAGCTACAGATACCCCTTTTCCTTAGGTGCACATAGCAGTTTGTAGTCTTTGACAGTTGAAAAATGTCCTCGGTGCCATTGATACATTAGGATCTGGCTTAGCTTCTACTCTTTTTTTTTTTTTTTGGTCAGTCATGGGGCTTGAACTCTGGGCCTGGGCACTGTCCCTCAGTTCTTCAGCTCAAGGCTAGCACTCTACCACTTGAGCCACAGGGCCATTTCCAGCTTCTACTCTTAAGAGTTAATTATTGTCCATTTTTATCTCTCAGTAGCGGCTTTCTGAAATAGATCTTGCTGATGTCAGCATAAAGGACTCTCCAAGGGTATTTATATTTTACTGCTTTGCCTACCCGTCCTCAAAAGTTCTAATGTTCTCCAAGTTCTACTCTCACATCTCAGAAAGTTTTCTCATTTACATGTGGTCTTTACCAGGACAATCTGGTTAAAATGAGATCTGGAGGTCTAGTCTGACTGGTCCTTACACAAGTGGTCAATTACGTGTATGTGGGGAAGATGGGATCGAGATGAGGATGAACGCACAGGGGAGAACACTGAGGTCTGCTCTTCACCAGAAGAGCAGACGCTGAGGGAGAGGCCCTAGTGCCCTCAGAGAGAACCAGCCCTACCAACCCCTCCATGACTCACCCCTGGAATCAGGAGATAATCCCCGATTTCCACTACTCGCCTCCAGAACCAGGAGATAAGGAGCACCAGTGCTTTGTTACAGCAGCACAGGTACTCCTGTCTCACCAGTTCAGTGGAGGTTTTACTAAGTTCAAGTACTTGCCCATCATAAAGTATTGCTCCATGGTGAGTATATCATTCACCATGGTGATATGCCATAATTCTATTAACATTGGGATGGGAAACCCATGAACATACCTGCACAATTCTGCTCAAGTGACAGTCAGCTGCTAGCTCTAGTCCTTGCTTTTCAGCCCAAGCTTCAATATGTCCCAACTGCTGGCGGATAATAGCTCCCCAGTAGTGGGAGCACAGCCCTGAGTCTGGGTCGGTCACCAGTCTGTTGAACAGCCACATATTGATGAAGTGGAAGAGCTGAGAGAAAAGCTGGATGGTCAGGGCGGCATTCACCCTGCAACGCCGCAGCAGGGACATGGCTCCTGTGAGCGTGTGCAGCACGTCATCTGCCCAGGACACAGGAGGGAAAGTAGGGACCAAATGTTAACAAGAACCTGCGGAGTTACAGGAGGTCTTGACAGGTAGTAATGGTAACTCTAGTTATTACAGTTAGAGAGTTATAGTACAAACTGTAACAAGTAGCTTTAGTAATAACTGCTGAATTACTTTAAAAATGTCAACCTTAGATAGCAGTGATATGGCTTTAAACAACAAAGTTTTTAACTAAACACATTTCCAGTGTAAGTTCACCCAAAAGTCTTTAAGGATGACTGGCATGGCATAACAAAAAGGAGAACTATTCATAAACATAACTATTAGTACTTAAAAGTATTTTTAGTGACAGCTAGATGCATGAAAATATTCCATGTATTTATGACACACTTCTTCCATACATGAAACTTGAAGACAAGGTAATACAGGACAGTGAGGAGGGAGCGAGCACAATGAATGAGCTAACCTATCTTGGGTCTCCGCAGACCGCTCTCTTCCGGGTCATCCAAAAAGGCTGGCATGTAGTTATTAAGTTCTGACTGAAGACAGTGAACCAAGTACCTGAAAACATATAAACAGCCATGATAAAAACTCAGCATGACAAAATGCTAATTTGTCAAACGTGTGAAATGATTTAGAAATAGTTTCCATTAAAATAATAAAAGTTGTATTCTCAGTATTCTTGAAACACCATCAAATGTAATATGCTAAAGTTAACACTCATGCTTCATAATACTCATTTTGATTAAGAAGCTTTACCATTAATAGCTTTAAAAACTTAACATAAGAACGTATCTTTTAACTCATTACAGAATAGTGTCATCCTAAAATATTTGCCATTCAAGCCAGGCACTAGTGGCTGACACCTGCAATTTGAGCCACTTAGGAAGCTGAGATCTGAGGACTGCAGTTGTAAGCAAGCCCAGGTCGGTAACTGTGAGACTTAACTCCCAATTAAGCACCATAAAAAATGCTGTGGCCCAAGAGCATTAGCTTTGAGCAAAAGTTCAGGGACAAGCACCCAGGCCCTCAGTTCAAGCCCCAGGACTAGCATAAAACAAACAAAAATTGTCGTTCATACTTAAATGCCATCTGAACCAAGTGTGCTAAAACATCTTGGGCATCCAAAGTGATCCGACTAAGATCTCGGTCCTGCTTGATGAAGTTGAGAAGTTCTGATGCATTCGCCATCCAGAAGGCAAGGGCTCCGGCAATATTCTTTTGTTTCTGTGGACAGAACACATTTCCATAAGCAACATGAGAATAACAAAAATAAACAAGAATGATCCTGAAAAGCTGCAAAGACAGATCAGTACCTTGCCATCTTCACCCAGGTATTTACCACAGATACCAGATACTTGCAAAGGAATTTGAGAGTAGATTGAGCAGTGGGAAGCAAACAACCACTTCTTAGGACATGTATAGACAGTCACATGGGTCTAATGAGCTGCAATTTCCATCATTAATGGAGAAATGGACATACCATACATTGTAACACCGAATTGTAGATTGTGCATTATCTGGTAATCTGTGCAGCATACACACACGAGTCCATGGTTAACCCACAGCCACCCTGATACTTGTAGTCACGGCTTAGATGCCAGCAACTCAGTATCAAGTACTGATCTATTGCATCCTCTCCCGACCACATATGCAGGCCAGGCAACCTCAGATGAGATCCAAAGAATAGGAACCAAGTATAAATAATAAAGAGAAGAAACAGAACTTTTGTCATTTCATATCCACACTGAAGTGCATTAAGCAGAAATTATGAAATGCTGATACAAGTTGCATAGTCAAAAAGGGGTTTAGTACTGCATGTTTCAGTTGCTGAATGAGTGTTATGAACTGTTCAGTCCAGTTGTTGTCACACTGGACATGGAAGCAGCATGAGAGATTCGGCTAAGCCAACGCAGCTAGGATTAGCTCCCAGCAGTATATCCTACCTGATCAACCTGGTCTACTTCCTGGAGAGAAACAGACGAGGGGAAATCAAGCAGAACGAGAGAAAGAAACTTGTAAACAATCATGATAGTTAAAAAAATCAAAACACTAACATGAAGGCACAACATGAAAGTACAACATTTAGTTATTTCCAAATTACATTTCCACTTATGATTCTGAAGCATCTTTGCAAGTATATAACATAAAACATTAGTCTTATGTTCTTAACATTGGCGCGATAAGTGAATGAACTTTTAAAATGACACTATGCTCACTACTTAAATGAGAATTTATTCCACTGAATTAATTTTAAGAATGAAAGAGACAGGAAAGACCAGTAGAAACAAAGTAAAAGCTCTGAGCTATTAAAAATGTCTAAAGACCTATACTTATGCTAAAGGGAGTAAATTATCTGTCTTTCTAAATCGAATCTGAAGTTGAAAAGTCATTTTGAGATTGGCAACTGCCCAGAAGAGCAGATACCAGCAAGGACAAGTCCCAAGGGGCAGTCTGTGGTGGGACGGTGACAGTCTTGAAGAGGTTTTCAGGTTCAAACAACATAGGAGACAGACAATGGCTTTGGATGACAAATAAAAAGGAAACTCACATTTGCTTAGAAAAATGATACTGCAGTAACAAAAAGGCATGCAAATAAAATGACATTCCTCTTTGCCTATTTCCTAGCTTGCATGAAAATTGTAACACCAACAAATGCATATTGTGCTAATCACTCAAACATGAAAGAAGCATTTTTGGAAAATTTTTGCTTTTTAAAATAATTCTGCACAACCAGGCATTGTAGTACAAGCCTATAATCCTAGTAAAATAATGGTTGTGGTATAAAGGATCAGTGAGTTTGAGATCAGCATAGTATGGGCTTTAGAGTAAGTTCCCACCTCAAAAAAAACAAAAACAAAAAAATCAAAACTTAAAAAACAACAAAACAAACAACAAAAAACACACCTCAGGGAATGAAAAGAATGCCATAGTTTCCCTCAAATCATCTAACCAGGAGAAAAAAAACCAACCATCTAACTAAAGTGTTTATCATTACTAGCTCCATAGCTAAGTAAAAGCACTCATGGACAAAAGAGAAAAGCTTTTTAAAAAGAGTCTACAAATTTATGGTTAAAGACTTTCAAGATTAAATCTCCAAATTATCGAAGTATGAAAAACAGCTTTATCAATTTTATCAATTGTATATCAACATAGTACTTAAAGGAATAAAACCATCCTAACAAGTACCCTTATCTCCTGAATCTTCAAAACAAGTTTAGGTCAGAATTTAATCTGAAGTGAGACATTTGTCATGATATCCTATACTATATATAATATTATAAAATAAGTACTAAACATTCATAGTGGGTTCATCAGGAAAGAGCAGGAGCCTTCGCAGAGGGTGAGCGCCAGAGACAGGGAGGGAGGTTGGACTCAAGCAATTGAGATGTTTTGGGGCTGAAAGCTGCTCAGCAGTTGACATACACAGTGTTACAGAAATGCTCCTATCCAAAAAAGGACAGTTAATTTGACATTATCTGAATTTTGTTTCAATAAAGAAAATACTAAGAAAATCACAATAGTGTCTACACTTTCTCAGAACTACTGTTACAATGTTAATAGTCTTCCGCATGACCTTATTGTCATAAACACACACAGTTTGTCTTCATTTGCTCTGAAGTTTACAGTAAACAATAAAGTTCCCATTTCCATTCACTGTTCAAAGCTACACATTTTTCTTTGTTTTGGTCAGTCGTGGGGCTTGAACTCTGTCTGGGCTTTGGCGCTGGCCCTGAGCTCTTCAGCTCAAGGCAAGCGCTCTACTGCTTGAGCCACAGCGCCACTTCCAGTTTTCTGAGTGGTTTATTGGAGATCAGAGTCTCACGGATTTTCCTGCCCGGGCTGGCTTTGAACCACGATCCTCAGACCTCAGCCTCCTGAGTAGCTAGGATTATAGGCGTGAGCCACCGGCACTCAGCTCATTTTTCTTTATTCTCTGTTAACTTTTATTCTCAGGACAGTGTGAAGTGTAGGGAAAGGCAGCCACACTTCTGGGCAGCAGCCTGCTGGGCTAGCGCGTACCTGAATGACGCCATCCATCATGCTCACCATCTTGTTGACCACTGCAATGACCTTGTGGGTGCGCTCTGTAGGACTGATGTCAGGTCTGTGCTGGCTGGACAATACATACCGACATGCCATGTATAATACATATGTAGGAGACAACTTAAAATGGACAGTAGAACTATTGGTATAATTTATAATGGCAGATAAGAATGAATCTTCAGCTGTAAATGGATTTTAGAAGAAAAAAAGAACAAAAGCCATGAAAATCATATAGTAAAAAATGCAACAAGAAATAAGTAATTCACTAACAAGAGAACTGAAATTACAATTACTCACAACTTTCCCTGAATTCAATGCTTGCAGGCAGTACCAATTCAGGCTCGGCAGCATCCTGAGTTCTAAAGCAAGAAAAACCAACATTTAAAATAAAGTCAAGAAGCTAACAATGCAACAACCTGCATGGATTTTAACAAGTACATTTTGTCCCCATACAGAGTTTTCCTATGTAAAATGATAGCAAACCCCTTGCCTCATAGCTAACCTATTCAACCAATTAGATGAATTAACTGGGAGTGATCTTATCCCAATTCCTCACAGAAGTCTGTTTCCTTGATGTATAGACTTCCAACAAGAAAGCAGATCTTACACATGATTCTGGATTATTAATGAGTGCTTTGTGTCTAGGATGAAGATCAGGCTGTCTGGCACCTGCCAAGCCCTGGTTCGGGTAACAGTGAGACACCAGTGAAGCCAAACCAGTGAGCTACAAACTGAACAAGCATAGAAGAAAGCATTTCTTAGAACCAGTGACCTACAAACTGAACATGCATGGAAGAGAGCATTTCCTAGAATATGGACATCTTTCTCTAGAGACACAGAGTGTCACACAGGTTTTGTTTAGCCATTCAATATTATCTTTTTCCAAAGCTCATAGTGATGTTTACCTTTAAAGGGGAAAAAAATCTATTCAATCATTTTTTAGCAAGATAATTTTTAATTAAGATCACTTCCATCATTTAGCCTGACTTTATACAAACAACAAACTGTCAAAAATATAATTAAAGAGAGACTAATCTGAGACATTTTAAGAGCTACCATTGTGCTGATGTGTACTTCCAGGTTTTGTGAACAAATGAATTCAAAAGTTAGGGATATTTCTATTTCTGCAAGACCCAAGAGTCAGGACACTGGATAGGCCACGTCTTACAAAATTCCTCTTCCAGTTATGAGCATGTACTTTAGGCATTTGTCGGGTCTACCAGAGTAAAAACAATCTTGTGCTGTGATCATAGTTAAAAAATATTTGAATGCCGAGTGTCATGGCTCACGCCTGTCATCCTGGCTACTCAGGAGGCTGAGAAATGAGGATCGCAGTTCAAAGCCAGCTTGGGCAAGAAAGTCCATCAGACTCTTGTCTCCAATTAACCACCGAAACCCAGAAGTGGCGCTGTGGCTCAAGTGGTAGAGTGCTTGCCTTGAGCTGAAGAGCTGGGACAGTGCCCAGGCCCAGAGTTCAAGACCCACAACCAACAAAAAAATAATCAGAAAGCTACTGCTAAGCACAGACTTACTACAACGTGTGAAATAGCTAGAAATTTGTGTTAGCTATCCTTATCTTCTTTTTTTGTCTTTTCTTTTTTGGTATTGGGGATCAAACCCAGGATAGTGTACTTGCTAGACAAGTGCTTTGCCATTGAGCTACATCCCAGCCCTGTTTTCTTAATAGGTAAGTCAACATAATGCATATTTAGTGTAAACATCCTGCTACCTAGACATATGATAAGGGCCACTAAATTATCATTCTAAGTTAGTTTGCTATTAGCTGTATGTGTATTTTAACAAGAGCCAAATAAACAGAGATCAGCTTCCTTAACAATTTCAATAATGTTCATTTTATTTGAACTTTAGCATAGATGATAGGAAAAATCCTTCCTTAAAAATATGTCTTTAAGAAAGGTAGAAACCTGATTTCAAAAGCCGAGGAACATGAGTTCTCTCCTCCTGCAAGCTTCATTAAAAACTGAGTAGTGGCAATGAAAGAAAATATACATTAATTTAAATGTTGACTTTACATATTTAACTCTTGTCAGTACATATTCAAATCAACCTTTGGGTCTGATGAGCAGGTCTTCAACATAGGGCACGTGAAGCAAGCCTCCTCAGTAGGGACAGCAAGTGTGGCCCCTCTCAGAAGCAACATACTTCAGTTTAGTCAGCAGTGGTGATGGGCTGCCATGTAAGAAGAAACACTCCTGCCCTCGCTGAATGAGCTAATCAGGAGTAAAAAGCTTTTCTTCAGAAGTGAAATGAGCTAATGGGCTTGCAGATCAGCTGACTGGAATAATTTTTATTTCATCATCAGCAAACAGTCTCTCTAGCCCCATATTTTTCTAAGCACCAAAAGATGAGTATGAAAAAAAGAACATATAACGTTCTTCTACAACTATTAAAATCATTAAAAGCAAAATGTTCTTTCCACCAGATTATATTCTTCTTCTAAGTTTTTTTTCCATTCTTTAATGATTTGGATTTAACGGAACAATTAGAAAAGCAAAGATGTTCTTATAAACAGAACATTATTTAAATGCTTGTGTGTGTGTGTGTGTGTGTGTATACTCCTATATTTATTGATACCTAAAATTACACAGGCATTTTCCATTTAATGTCCCATAAAATGGATCTGGAAAACCTTTATAAATGATCCTTCATTTGAACAAATCTGGTAATAGAAGTAGCCGAAAAAGTCAGTGACAAAAGAAAACTCACTCTCATCATTCAACAGGATTTTCTTCTTTGAATAAATCTATTATTAATTAGTTATTAAAACTTATTAAAATTATTTGACTCAAATTTTATAACTACATGAATAAAATTATTGCTTATTTCAATATAGTGTATTTGATAAACTGAAAATTTGATAGGAATGGGAAGAATGATTTATGAGTTTTGATCTACCCTTAATGCCAGTCAAGTAACATTTACAGTTCGAGCAGCACTTTCAATAATTACTGCCTTCACAAATCAATCTAACCTTTTAAACCATTAGAGTGTGTCTATATAGTTTTTTGTGTATGTGGTTCAAGAGTAAGAACTTGGGGCTTTGGAAACGTGCTCATGCCTGACTTGCTCCTAGAGTGCCTTTGGGTTATTCTTCAGACAGTGTATCAAGCTTTCTGCCTGAATGTGTCTCAGTGATCATACCACCAGTGCCTCTTGAGGTTATAAATGGGATCCACTGTGCCAGGTAAAATTGATTTTCTGCAATTTACCATCATATGTTTACTTGGATGTATCACTTAAACTGTATGTTTGTTAATCTTATATATCCTATCATTCTCTTTCCTAACTGAATTCAGACAAACTCAAGATAAACTCATTCAAATATTTATGAGCTATGAACTACAACATTGAGCAATCACTTTATAACTACATGTAAGTATTCACTATAATACCAATTTACCATTCCGGACATCCTACACTTTACCACCCCAAATGAGCACATAGGAAAATTAATCAATTCTATGAAAGCTAAGAAAATTCATATACCCACAGAGCTCTTGCATGATAAAATGAAACACCTGTAACTCCCTGATGAATATACCAGTTTCAATACTATGGAAGAGACATTAACATCCTCCACTTCACAGTGCCCTCTGCTGGAAGGTGAGAATGAATGATTACCATTTCATGTCACACCTGTGCCCACTCTCAGCCTTGACTACCGGACTTCTACCAGGAACAGTCAGAACAGCCTTTCCAAAATATGAAGAGTGCACAACAAGTCATATGCACTCTCTGCTCTGACTATGTCTTTGTGGGGCCAGAGCACATGTACAGAGCCAGATGTGTCTGTAATGTCAAAAGGGTAGTACCTGGTACTCATCATCTGTTACAGAACTACTGTGCTTAAGATGATGACTTTACTGTCAACATCTAAACAGCTCTAGATGTCACAGGACAATGAATTCTGATTTACTAAAGTGACACAAATTGAAAATCTTCAGGAAATAGGGGACAGAGACTTCTGCAAACGAGGCAGTATCAGAATAAAACAACAGTTCACCGTCCACTTGCCTCTACAGGGCGAGGCAGAATGATACAGTCTCCCAAAGGGACTAGAGAGTGTCCTTCAAAGTCATTTTTGGCTTCATGCATTTTTTTAATCTCTTCTACAAATGGGTGAAATGACTAGTTTTCTCTAACTGTAGAAATGATCCAATATTAAAACACTATAAAAACTCCCTTATTTATATTTCGTTCAGAGCAGTCAATATGGAAGAACACTTTCTATCCCATGTGCCTCCAGGATCAGCCTGGTAACACAGGGTCTATAAAAGACAACAGTCATCAAGGAAGCACTTTTCCCCCAATGAGTAAACGGGAAAGGAAATGCTCTTGAAAATACTGTGACTATTGTGACACATTTGTCAGTAATGCTGTCCCAAGCTTCCTGGACACCTTAGGAACCCCTCCTGGGATCAGAGTGGAAGCACCCCTACCTGCTCTCGTGTCTGCGGTAGTCCTGCTGCTGATCCACGCGGATCATGGGCTTCACCATTCCTCGCTCGGCTGCGCTAGAGGCAGAGGACACCCTGTCGCTGTCCAGTCTAGTGGTGCTCTGTGCCAGGGAAGCAGTGGTTAGAATGCCGCAGAGACAAAGCAAGCTTTATACTCAGGTGCCGCAGGCAGACAGATATCTGATGCGGGCCTGCCATGCAGGGAAGGCAGGAGGACTAGCCAGTGACTCAGAAATGCAAAATCCACCAGGGCACATGGGACTTAGAGAATAACATGAAAAACAGTGCTATTTCGATTTCCAAGAGATAGGACGTGGCTTCAGAAAAAAAGTGTATGAAACGAGCCGGGTGCCGGTGGCTCATACCTGTAATCCTTGCTACGAAGGAGGCCAGGATCTGAGGATCACCAGCTCAGGCAAGAAAGTCTGTGAGATTCTTATCTCTAATGAACCACCAGAAAAGCCAGAAGTAGAGCTATGGCTCAAGTGGTAGAGAGCTAGCCTTGAGCAAAAGAAGCTCAGGGCTAGCACTCAGGCTCTGAGTTCAATCCCCAGGACAGGCCAAAAAACAAAAAAGTGTACATACACAGATAATGATATCTCAAGTAGAAAAAAAATACTATTTCCATAAGGTCTCTCAGACAGCCTAAGAGCTCAGTCTTTAGATTGGAATCCTATGCATTATAGCTCAATATCTAATGAATTCACTAGTTTATTTCTTGCACTTACCAGTGCCAAGGAAAACCACACCTATAAACTTCCAATATATTTAAACACTTCTAAAATGTATACTCCTGACCTCTTGAAGGCAGAGGATGTGTTACCTATTTGTATAGATTGAGCTTATGTAGAAATTGAGCCTATGTAAGAAGTAACTAAAAATCCTTATGTTACCACCCAGAAATTAATACTGGGCATCTATTTGCATGTAATTTTTCAGTTCTTGTTTTTTCCATAAATAGGATTATACAACCCACCTCAAAAAATACAAATTTTCAAACCAGCCTATAATCACAGCACTCAGAACATGGAAGCCAGCCTCATCTACACAGTAGGAGCCAGGTTCAGAAAACAATTACAACTCCTTTTTCAAATGTAGTAAATATTACGACTTATTTTTATATTATAGAATTATGATAACTGTACATTTTGTTCTCCACTCAGAATAGTTCATTAAGCCAATGCTCTATTGTTTAAAATTTCCATAGAGTGCTGTGACAACAGTGCTTGTAAATATGTATTTATAAATATGCATTTATTCACTATATATTTTACTATGTAAAATATATGTATTAAGAATATATATATGTATTCATTCATACACAGTAAGTACTTCCATAAGATATGTTTCTAGTCAATGGATAGCAAACTGAAAGGGAGAAATGATTAACAATAAGGCAATGGATAAATTATGGAAAGTTCATGTTTATATATTACAAAAATCTGCTTCTGAATGACTAGAAAAAGCTCACAAAGTAACAGCTGAAGGAAGCAGTCCACAAAGATTTGTAAATAGAGAGCAATCTACCTAACCATGGAAGTCTACCATAAACACTGCTTCCTCCCTGCCCCCACCCCCGTCACCCATAGTCAATGTTAAAAGTCAATTGTAAATGATGGATGAAATCATTTCCAGTTTACATTTTCTCTCTACTGACCAAGCCTTCCACGTTGACTATTTGTGTGTGTGTGTATTTTTTTTTTCCGGTGCTGGTCCTGGGGCTTGAACTCAGGATCTGGGCACTGTCCCAGACCATCTGTTTGCTTAAGGCTATTCCTCTACCATCTGAGCCCCAGCTTCACTTCTGGCTTCTTCTTTATGTTTTAAAGCACTTAATTGGAGAGAAGAGTCTTACAAACTTTCCTGCGTAGGCTGACTTTGAAGCGTGATTCTCAGGTCTCAATCTCCTGAGCTGATGATACATATTTATGAGAAGTAGTTCTATTTGTTCCTTGAGTACAGATTCACTGTGCACGAGACACTTGTCGAGACATCATTGCATGCTAGGTACTTTCTGAAGCCCCAGAGGAACAGCAATAACCCAAGAAGCATGATCTTGGCCAGCCAGAATGATCCTCATATTCCATTCAATCAGCAAGCAGGGAGGAAGGCCACTGATGGCAACACAATGAACCTACATAGAGCGGTGGGATTAGATGCTTCAACAACTCAGGCTTCTTCAGGAGAAGGGGCCAGTAAAGGGCAAGCATGCCAAGCAGAAAGAGACTTCAGGTAGGAGAGATGGGCACATGCCAGACCAGAAAGCCAGTAGATATTGGGGCTTCAAAAGCAGGATACCAACAGGATTGTACACTCTTGTTTTGTTTTGTGCCAGTCCTTGGGGCTTGAACTAGGGCCTGGGTGCTTTACCTGAGCTTTCTTGTTCAAGGCTAGCACTCTACTCACCACTGCTGACTTTTGATGGTTAATTAGAGATTTGAGCTCATGGACTTTCCTGACCCAAAGCACTTCAAACTGCAATCCTCAGATCTCAGCCTCCTGAGTAGCTAGGATTACAGGCGTGAGCCACTGGTGCCCAACTAGACCTACATACTCTTACAATGCAAAGATGATGATGACCGAACAGGTAAACACTCTTTAGGGGGGCTGCTGTTCAGAATGGTCTCCTGATGCTGCACCTGTACATGAGGACCAGCGAGGCAGATGCAAAGAGCAGAATGTGGATCTGCATGCAGTGCAGAAAAGAAAGCAGAGCAACTTGAAACAGCTTTTCCTTGGGCAATGCTGTGGATGGTGATATTATCAAGACAGGGAACGATCAAGGGAGAAATACGTTTAAGATAGGAAACTTAGTCTGATTTAGTGACATTAAATTTTCATGTCAAATTTGGCCCTTGGGGATTTAATTCTAGAGAGACTAGGGTCAAATGTATGCAACAACAAAAAAAAAGATAATGTAAACTTAGGCAACAGGGCAAGGTCACCAAAAGAATAGTGTAGACAAGAGAGAAGGGGCTTTCGTCTCGCATCTAACACTCCAGAGCGTAGGAGAAAGCAGCACCAGCAACCATGGGGGAGGAGCCACACTCTGGTGGGAGAAGCAACAGGAGAATGCTGGGTGCACCAAGAGGTGGTAGTCCAGCAAACGCTGCCATAACAGGACAGAGAAAACAAGCGTGGGAAGACTCCATGCCCAGGGAGGAAGGGAGTCAGAGGTGTAATGAAGGGGGGAGGGGGTGATAAGACACAGCCACTCTGGATGATTCTTTTTCAAGAAACTGTCCTGTATATAGGAGTAGCAAAATAGAGTGAGTGTGTGGCTGGGAGCAGGGGGGTGGGGGGGCAGACAGGAGACAGGAGGAGAAGGATAAGGGTCTAAGGGTCGCTCTGACACATGGGTGCTGTTGGGGACAGCGTGGCTGGGGGGGCAGGTAGGAGGATAAGGGTCGCCCTGACACATGGGTGCTGTTGGGGACAGTGTGGCTGGGGGGGCAGGTAGGAGGATAAGGGTCGCTCTGACACATGGGTGCTGTTGGGGACAGCGTGGCTGGGGGGGGCAGGTAGGAGGATAAGGGTCGCTCTGACACATGGGTGCTGTTGGGGACAGCGTGGCTGGGGGGGCAGGTAGGAGGATAAGGGTCACTCTGAACATGGGTGCTGTTGGGGACAGCGTGGCTGGGGGTGGGGGGTTCAGGAGGATAAGGGTCGCTCTGACACATGGGCGCTGTTGAGGACTGTATGGCACACAGTCACACCAGGGTTCCTCTTTCCCTGAAATCTGAGTGCACCTGGGTTTGCTTCAAGCAATGGAAGGCAGAGAACTGATGCTAGGTTGCTGCAGCTCTAACCCTCAAGGAGGACTGGAAGCTCAAGGGTCTTGTGGGGAACAACTAGGACCTAGGGATAAGGGCCCTGGGGGAAAAAAACCAAGAGGGCGGGGAAAGGAAGGCTGCGCTGAGTCAGAAATCTGAAGGCTGAATGCAATCCCCCAAGTGGCTGCTAGAAGACCAACAACTGCCCCAGTGAGCTCAAACCAGACCCACCATCAACAGGTAAAGTGGCTGCTGTTTTAACACACCAAATTCTGAAGTGGCTTCTTATTGGAGAACTGTCCCAATTACACAGAAACTCCAGGGTGAGCTGCAGGGCAGTATCTGAGAAGGCCCCTGAATATACGGAGCTACCTTAACAGGACTGTACTACCTTCTGCACAATCTCACCATGGAGAAGCCCAGCACAGAAGGAAAAATACAAGTCCAAGATGGACTCAGGAAAAAGGAGCATTCTACCCTCTGTCTTTCCCGTATCCCGAGGTGGCACAACAGAGTAGCACGCCCACTGTGAAGTCCGTGCTGTGACAACATCACACACACACAGTCACCTACCCTGCTTGAGGGCAGTGCGGGCCCGCTGAGGACATCGCCTCCCAAATCAAAGGTTGTCTCCTGCACAGCTCTGTTGGGATGAAAAAGAAACACACAGAATAGACTGTCAAATAACAGATGAAACGCAGCAGGAGCCAGTAGGTAAACACCCCAGATTGTCCATAAGTGACTTCATTTTCAGTACACAGGCTGAACAAGAAGAAAGAAACTATGGTCAATTTGTGGAAACACTCTTATTTGGATCATCTACATGATTCCCAGCCCTTTCTGCTTTATTTTTCAGCAAGTGTTCTACTTTTTTGTCCAGGCTAACCTTGGGCCAAAATCCACCTATCTCTGCCTCCCATATAATGGAGATTATAGACTTACACCATCAAACCCAACTTTTGTTTTAAGAGAGATCTCAATAACCATTTTTCCCCCAAACTGGTTTCAAACAACTATCCTCCTATGTCTGCTTCCTAAGAAACTGGAATAATAGGTGTGAGCTACCACACCAGCTTTCTAGATCTTTTTCTTCCATAACCAGAATTTAATAATGAGAATGAACATTTAAGTTTATCTAGGCTGCAAATAGCACATAAATAAAGGGAAGGCTGGACTTGAAGTCCTCATGACCCAATCTATGGCTATTACACAGGTAAACCCAATAATAAGCTACCTGTCTTTCTGCGTGCGTGGGTGTGGTGGGAGAGTGTGGTGGGGCTTGAGCTTGGGGCCTGGGTGCTATCCCTGAGCTTTTTTCCTAAAGGCTATCCCAGTGCCACTGCCAGTCTTCTGGTGGTTAATTGGAGGTAAGATTCTCATGGACTTCCCTGGCCGGAATGGCTAATATACATGATCATTACTGCTTAGGCTTCAATAAAGAAAGAGGAAACTTTTGATAATGCCAGTAATAAAATTAAGAGATATCATAGTCTTAAAGATTATTTAGATATCTCAAAATACCAAAACTTCCACACATATCATTTTGAAAAATTAACCTGGAATACAAACAGAACCTCATTTTGAATAGTAAAAAAGTAGAGGCAAACTAGTTCTTTGGTTAAAAAAGTTAAATATAACCTACTAGTCCTAACTAAAAAAGAAAAATATCTAAAGCTACCTAGAATGCAATGAGGATAAAGCAAGGATTAAAGGTCCTGGCCTGCTATGCAAGTATTCTAATTATACTAATAATAAAGAATTAAATCTCTTCGTAGATGCTCTAATTTTAAAGCAACATGGTACTTAAGACTCTTATTTACACTCAATCCATTAAGGAAGTGACCTATAAATTCAAATTAGTAAAGCAGGTATAAATTTCTCTACCTTATCACTAAGAAAACAGAGCATTTTTAGTGCAAAATAGCACTGAACTTTGAGTTGAAACTTTTAAAAAAGTAAAAAGATAATTAATTTTTTGCAATATATCACCAAATTTTAAAATTAAATATTCATGGAAATGTTCTGCTGGCTTTTATCAGCTTAAATACGATTTACTTCGGGTATTTGCCAATATCTGACAAAGTAATGTGATATGGCTCATCTTCTTTGCCACTTATCAAAGCTAAAACATACACATTATCATCCCTACCTTCCTCTTATAGATAATTAACACTATAAAATAGCAAATTTATACCAGACAAAGCTCTTCAACTTATTCCTCCAAAAGTACTTAAGTTTTAATTTGTACCCACCATTTGTGCTACATTCTGGATATGAAAAACAAGTCCAAAGTGACTTTATAAATTACTTTATTATCATCCAATTTTGACTTCTGACTCTAAGAATCCTATCTCTATCTCAGCATTCAGAACATAACAAAGATATATGACATGGAAGCTCAATGTCTATAGTCTGCATGCACAAGTAATCAAATTAGCAAAATAACAGTATCAAATTCTGCTACCTCCTGTTGAATATAAATAAGGATCTGAAGACAGACTTGGAATTTCCATTTAAAAGCACATGCTCTTAAATGTGGGGAATGCTTTCTTGGAGAGAGTATAATAGAATGAGACTAATGGGGATACTGTGTAAATATGTGTGATGGTAAAATAACAAACTCCTCCCACATATAATCATATAAATTAACAAAAAAATTAAGAGTATATAGGTTATTTGCCCAGAAACACATTTAAGGATGGAAGAAAGAGAAAGGAATGAATTCTCATAGGAAGTACATAGTAAAGGTATTGTTGATTTTTTTAGAAAAATAAGGAGATGTGGTCATTTGCTTAAGTGTGGCACAAAGTAAGAAACTAGAAATAGATCTTACAGGGGCTGGGAAGATGGCTCAGTGATAGAGTGCTTGCCTTGCATGCATGAGGCCCTGGGTTCGATTCTTCAGCACCACATAAACAAAAAGAAAAAAGCTGGAAGTGGCACTGTGGCTCAAGTGGTAGACCACTAGCCTTGAGCTGAAGAGCTGAGGGACAGCGCCCAGGCCCAGAGTCCAGGCCCCACGACCGGACCCAAAAAAAAAAAAAAAAAAAGTAATAGATCTTACACAACCCATGAACTTTGAAACTGCTTCCCTACTTAAGTGACTACATGTGATAATCCACCAAGTATTCATATCAGAGAAAGAAAAGCCCACCAAACCTGTTGGTTTACATTTGTGCTCTCTGGGCAGAAAACTTAAACCTGTGGGTGTTTTAGGTTGTACCAACTGCCATAAGGGAAGAACTACTGTAGCTATCTACCCAAGATTAATACCTTACTAACTTGCTAAATTGGCAACAAAGAGGTTAAACACTTGTGAGACCTCAGGAAAGCACTAGGTGGAGCTAAAGTATTCTGAATTCTTAAATGAGATCTGTTTTGTTAGTGGTTACAAGGGGGAAAAGAACCCACAATAAAAAAACTTAGGTATGGGCACAGGGTCCATACTTATAATCTCAGCTTCTCAGGAGGATCACCGTTAAAAGGCCAGCCAAAGCAAAAAGTTCATGAGACCCTCACCTCAGTCAACGAATCATGCTCGGGCATGATTTTTGAAAGCTTATTACATAGTGTCATTATATAGAGTATCATGGGTTCTTGTTTTGCTTATGGATGTACTCAGAGCTGAACTCAGAGCCTTGCATATGCTAGATAAGCACTATACTACTTGAATCCCACTCTCAGCCCCAGGATATCCTTTCTTTCTTTTTCTTTTTTTCTTTTTTTTAGAAAGGAACAGGTATTGTTTTAGTGTATTAACTGTAAAAAACTACTTAACGTATAAATACCTGACAAACAGTTCAAAACTTCTATTTTGTGTGGCCTGGTTTGTGGTCTACTGGATAGATGCCCAGGAGTGGGATTGCTGGGTCACAAGGGAGCTCTATGTGTCGTCTTTTCAGGAACCTCCATACTGCTTTCCAGAATGGTTGAACCAGTTCACACTCCCGCCAACAATATAGCAGCATTCCCTTTTGGTCCTATCCCCTCCAGTATCTGTTGTTGTTAGATTTCTTTGATAATGACCATTCTAACTGGGATAAGGTGGAATCTCAATCTGATTTGCATTTTTTTTTTTTTGGTCGGTTGTGGGGCCTGAAATCTGGGCCTGGGCGCTGTCCCTCAGCTCTTCAGCTGAAGGCTAGCACTCTACTACCTGAGCGTCAGCCCCACTTCCGGCTTTTTCTGCTTATGTGGTGCTGAGGAATTGAACCCAGGGCCTCATGTACGTAAGGCAAGCACTCCACCACTGAGCCACCTCCCCAGCCCTGATTTGCATTTTTTATGGCCAGAGACGTTGAACATTTCTTCATGTGTCTATTGGCCATTCTTATTTCCTCTTCTATTTATTAATTAGGTTGTTCATTTTGGGGGCATTTAATTTTTGGAGCTCTGAGTTTATTTTAGATATGAGGCCCTTGTCTGATGCATAGCTAGTAAAAATCTTCTCCCATTTGGTAGGCTTTCTATTTATCTTGCTAGCTATGTCCCTGGCCATGCAGAAACTCTTCAGCTTGATGCAATCCCATTCATCCAGTTTTCTTTGATTTGCTATGATTTTGGATCAGCACAATGATATTCATTTCAGCACTGTTTACTATAGCCAAGATACAGAATCAACCCAGATGCCCCTTGATGGACGAACGTATCAAGAAAATATGATATATATGCACACTAGAATTCTACTCATCCATCAGAAAAAATGATATTGTACCATTTGTAAAGATATGGAAAGACCTGGAAAGAGTTATATTAAGTGAAGTCAGACGCAAAGAAACATAGGTTGCATGGTTTCATTTGTTGTAATTAGAATGTGCCTATAAATCTATAAGTAAACACAGTGGATGGTAAAGGACAGAAAAATACACTTAAACATGATCATTTATACAAGATTCTAGATACTCACGGAGTGTGAACAAAGGAGGATACTCTTAGGAGAGGATCACAAAAGCTCAACAGCTATGTGCATATGATCATATAAAATAATATTTTCAAAATGAACTCCAAGAAATAGAAAGAAGATGTTTTTTTATTATTTGGTGGGTTTTTTTCTCTTTTGTCCCTGTTTTTGTTTTCTGTGGCTTTTGTCTTGTATGTAAGTTTACTTTTTTAGGGAGCGCGAGAGGGGAGCACAGAAATGGAGAAAGGGTGAACAACTACAGCAGTGGTGCTCACTGAACACTAAGTTGAAAGCGGACTATGTAACTTGAGGGAGGGGGTCAAGAGGAAAAACTGTAGAAAGCAAGGGAAGGCAAGACACTGCAAAAAGAAATGTCCTTATTACCTGATTTTTAAAACTGGAAATCTAAAAAAAAAAAGTAAAAGCCAAAGCATTTACATTTAACTCAAATCCTCATAAATACAGCTAAAATGCAGTCCCAACTGTCGCACCGCCGGCTCATAGTCCTACTCACCCTGGTTTGTGTCTGGGGCCCTTGACGGTCAGGCCTCCCTCTGCAGACCTCCTCCCCAGAGCGTGGTCCTGGTTGGGGTCGACAAACTTAAAGACGTGTGAGGGGCCGAACTGCAGCTTCATGCCGCTCTGCAGCATGGTGGTCTCAGAGATGCGCTGGCCATCCACATAGGTCTCTGCGTCCATGTTTCTGGGAGTCACAGTGACCACTCCGTCCATGTTGGTAAGGTCACAGTGATGGGGCTGAATTCCTGGACCAAACAACTGAAAACAGAAGACAGCCCCATCCTCAACACACAAAGCAAGTTTCTCTTCTATCTATAATCAATATATCCATAAGAAACGAAGACCCAACCAAGTCCTAGTTTCCATTGGTTTCTTAAATGAATTTCCTCCTTACAGTACAAAATACTGTCAAAATTCTTACCCATTTTTGGCATCTAGTAATTTAAGGCATCTTATACAATCTGCATTTTTTTAAATGCAGTTCTGTGATATGGTGCTTGCCCACCAAATGAACTCCAGCACCATACAAACAAACAAAAAGCTAGTGTCTAATTATTTCAATCATGTATAAGACAGCTTAAAGCTCTACAGACAACTATGAGTAAAAATCCCTACTTGTTTCACTGCCATGGAAAGAATGAACAGTGAAACTGAAACCCCTATCGTTTTGACCGACATGAAATAAGAGAAGATAGTTCAAAGTGACAAATGTGGTCCTCACGTTTTCAGAAACCATGCCCACTGCTTTAAGTACGTGAGAACAGTGTTCAGCCAGCACTGCCTGAGGCAGCTGCCCTGCACTGGGCCCAGGGGTAGGATTGTCAGATGCTCTCTCCTTCACCCTGAAACCCACCTACAAGCTGTGACCACCACCTCGCAGAAGGAAACGAGGGAGGAATGTCCTAACCGAGCTGAGCTTCTGTGGGTCAAGTGTGAACACAAATGCACACTCCTCTCACACTAAGCAGAGTAAATGAGCCACTTATGACTGCATACAGGTCTGCGTGGGAGCTACTTTGCTGTGGGTAGTAACTACAGTAGGAAGCTTAGGCTGTAGCACAACTGCACACCTGGATAGAGTTGTCATCGAACTTTTCTGTCCCAACTTCAGTCACACTTAACTGAAGGCGGTAAAGCTTTGGCTTGTCTCTGGAGTCAGAACCATCTGTGAGAAGGGAAGAAGAGAACACCATTTGCAAAGTCTAACATTCTTGTCATATTACCTGGAACAGAGAGTGACCTTAAATGATATTTCAGTTCTCATGCCTCAGAATCTCTCTCAAAGAACCCTCTAAGTTACATCATACAACTCATCAAACTGGGTAGAAAAACTTCAAGTAAGCACAGTTAATACACACTGCCAAGACAATCATCAGTCCCAATATTTTGTTACATAAAAGCAAATCTTAGACTCTACTACCCTGCCCTGAGTCCTTTTAGTGGTTGTGAGATGTAGTGACAGTGGCAATATGAAGATCAAAGAAGACATGTAGACCCTCCCCTCCACTTAGATCCTTCATCCAGGGAAGGGGCTGGCTATGCCCAGATCTTCAGGACTACAGTCCTGAGATGGAGGCCAGGGAGGAGTCTCCTGAACTATGACTCGTGCTAGGCTCCTTCAAGCAGTCCTGGGATAAAGGACTGGCAGAAGACTAGGTCTGTCGTTTCTTTTTTCAGCTATTTTATACTGTTTTGAATTATGGGAAGTTAATATTCATGAGCATGATGGGGGGGGGGAGAGGGAAGGAGGGAAGCAGCACGGCCAGCCTCTAGCTTCACTTACACTGGGCACACTTATTTCTCACTCACTGCACTCCAGCTAGTGCAAAAGGATGTCCACTGAAGGCTCATTTCAGGGGTCACACGAGAAAATGTACCTCCAGAAGCCAAGCGTTACGATACAATCACAGATTTGCACGCTGTAACACACCACATATTCAGTCATATATGTACCAAGCCAGGTCTCCTCAAAAGGTAAGCAAGAGTCTCCTTGACTTAGTTCATAACTGCCCAAGTAAATTCAGAACCACTTATTAAGATTTTGATTAACTGGAATCAGGAACACAGTTGCAAGAGCTTCAGAGATTAAACATTTTGGAGGGCTTTTGAGTGTACACTGCTTTAAAATGCAAAAATTTTCTCAGCCATGGTGTGTTCTGAACTCTTACAGACAAGTAAATATGCAAGTTTTGTTAAAATCTGAAGATTTAGAGTATACAAAGTAACATCTCGGTAGTATTTTCTGTTTCTGAAACATTTCAGAAGTCTGGGACACTGGCAAAGGAAAGATGAGACTGACATAATTCAGAGTACCAATGCCTGAAGTGGATTCACTGAGCATGGGGTCTCTGTGCTGCAATATTAATCTGCAACTCTAGCCTTAGAAATTCTTGATCCAAACAAAGCTTGAGAACCATGTGAGAAGCTAGGCATGATAGCATACACACGTAATCCCAGCAGTTGGGAGACCAAGAAGGAGGATCATAAGTTCAAGACCAAACTGGGCCACCTACTAAGACCCTTTTTCAAAAAATACACCAAAACAAAACAAAGCGTCAGGCTTTTCCAGGCCCGGGCAGAGTCCTCATCCTGGAATGTTCACTCCTCTCTTCTGGTTGCCGTGGGCAGTCAGAGAATGTGATCCTCTTTTATCTCTAATGTACCATATCTTACAGAGATTCCCACTGTCTGACTAAGCTTCCTCCTGTCTGAACCACTCAGTGCCTAGGCTTTACCTGGCTTTCTGAATGTACTCAAGTATATGGTTTCAAGTATTAGCAACAAATAATTCCACTAAAAAGGAAGGAAACTGTATAATGAACATAGTCATATAAATTACACAACTTATAAAGAAAAAAAAGCAAATAAGCAACCATGGTTGCAGCAAGAACAATTGTTTCAATGCAAAGTGACACGCTTGCTTAGGGGTGGAAGAAAGTTCACATTAATATTCTCTAGCGTACACAAGTAGATGCTTCATAAAAAAGGGAGAAATGCAAACTCCTTTCTCAGTCTTTCCTTTCTTACCACTTCACTGCAATAGAAAAACCAGAGGTAAGCTAGACACCAGTGGCTCATGCCTATAATTCTGGCTGTTTGGGAAACAGTTCTGAGGACTGTGGTTTGAAACCAGCCCAGGAAGAAACATGCATCAGACTCTTATCTGTAATGAATCACAAAAAAAGCTGGAGGCTCACGTGGGGGAGTGCTTGCCCTCAGCAAGAGCAGCTCAGGGACAGCGCCTAGGCCCCAAGTTCAAGCCCCAGGGCTGGCACAAATAAAAAATAAAATTTTAAAACAGAAAGAAAAACCAGAGCTAAAGCCCAGGACGGGGTAGGGAATGGGAGGAAGGAAAGGTGCCTCCTGTCTTCCCCATGGCAGCCTGGCTCTAGCTCCTGCTAGAAGCAACTGATCACCTACCTTACAGGTTGGAATATTAAAACCATCCCCCTCAAAATTCATTTAACATATTCTCCATCCCCAACAAGGTCTCTACAAACAGATGCCCTCAGCCCCTACCCCTGAAGACCTTTCTCTGGGGAGAAGCAGAGCATCTCTGGAGGACATTTCCATGCAGGGGATGCCAGGCAGGCAGTCTCCACAGCTCTACAGCAGACAGACATGGGACCAGAAGTGTTTCAGACTTCAAACTGGGTTCTATTTGTTTTTTTTTTTAATTTGATCAGGGATTGTTTGCATAGATGGAAGATATCTTGGAGATGGGACCCAAATCTAAACATAAACTTCATTAATGTGTCACATTCATGTACACAGATAGCCTATGCAGAATGTCATATGCAATGTATTTAGTGTGGATTTCTGACTGCTACATGAGGTCAAGCATGGAATTTTCTACTTCTGGCATGATATCAGCATCCCAAAATTTCAGCAGCCTTTTGGATGAGAAATGCCGAGTCTATCCTCCAAGTGTGAAGGGTCACTGACCACAGGGACAGGCTAAGAGCACTTCCTCCCATTTTCAGTTAGCCTCTCCTCTGCCTGCCACGGAAAAGCACAGTGGTAAGGTGAGCTCTGAACCGGGGACACTGCTGAGAAGGACAGCACATTCGATTTCTAGGCACATAGTGTCTATGTGGTCAGAGAACATTATTTTGCCCATGAGGTTCTATTAGAGCCCAGTTACAAAACTATGAAGTATTAAGCGTAGCATTACCTTCGTAAGTGTGATAGCTGTAGTAGGCAAAGTGACTCCTTCTCCCTGGGGTTAAGACACATGCCAGGACCCAGGTGAAGGCAGCACCGGCAGGACAGAGACCATGCAGAGCACGCAGGAGAGGAAAGGAGGAGAAGAGATGCAGAGGGTGAGCTTCAGTGAGATGTTTCAAAGGAAGAAAAGGTACATTTTACCCATCAGCTTTCAAAGCTGTGCAGGTGAGACTACTGCAGTGTCCCAGTCAGTGTTTTAGAAACCAGTGTAGACCGTTAAGGAAAACAGCAAGACAGTAGTGAGTCACCAAGCAGCAGGATAGCAACAGTGAGTTAGCCACACAGGAGGTCATCATCCCACCTAAATGACTTCTGTTTAGAGCAGGACAGAGCAGCACCCAGGCTTCCATTTCTCCAGAAAACAGTGCAAGTATACCCACACATCAGATGCCTCCTACCCATCCTGGGACCTCCATACCCAGGACACACACCTGGCTGACAATATGCCCAGTAAAAGTACAGTCCCTCCTCATTCCTGACAAACCAGCGTGCAGATTTTATTCAGCATGCAGACTGGAGCTTTAGTAATAATGATAACCTAAAAGGGTCTCAGAACCCAGTGAAAAGATTTTGGCCTCACACTCGGGCCTGCCACCAGTCCCTGCCTCTACCTTAAGCAGCTCACCATCTGTGCAACAGTGAGGGGTGCTCTCCCCAGGCAGCCCAGAGAAGCTGAGAGGGTGTATAGATCAGAGACCTTCACTGTCCCTGAGTTATGACTGTTGCCTGGTAGATACATTACCTGTCAACAGGAATAGTTTTATGTACCTTTCCATCTAATGCTCTGCTCACAAAGGAGCTCAATAAATGATGGGAAAAGGTAGCAAAGTGTCAAGAAATATATCAGTAAGCATGTAATACATGCTGTTGCAAATATTTGGTAAAAAGCATAACTATTATTTACCTATGGACTACAGTATACCCACACCTACAAAAAAATTTCTCTGTGTTTGACTACCTGAGAGGTAACAAATATAAAATAAGTAGCAAAATGGAAACTCATCAGAATATGAGGTTAAGGATAAATCTCATTTTTAGTGCTCTATTGCTAACCCCCAAGAGTGTCTGATACATATAAGTACTAAATGGAGTGAAGGAATGCTCAGCCTATTGATGCTATCCACCAAAATCTACTTTCTTCTACTCATTTGAAATTTATTCTGTACTATTCTATTTATAAATTTCCCCATTGGGCAATACTATTAAATCTCCATAACTTCAAATTTGGGAGAAAACCAAGTTTCCAGTGCTTAAGGTACCCAATGTCCAAAAATGATCCTAAAAATTAAGTTGAAAAAATAAGTGGCTCTCTTCCTTCCCTCAGACAAACAAGAGCCAGTGGTTGTCAGACTTTACACAGTAATACTGAGACATAGTGAGGAAACAAAAATTCAAATGAACCTCCTAGCCAGAAAAGAGAGGAGCAAATAACACTAATATATTCCTTACAAACTGCTAATCAATGAAAAGAAAGACCTGGATATAAATGAATGTAACTCTACTTACTACTATAGCCACACTGCCATCAACACCAATCGACCCAATCCCACCCTAGCTTCTGAGTGCAGCCCACAGTCTCCCAGCACTGTGGGATCACAAACGCCAGGTCTAACCTCAGCTAATTTTAATAGTCAACTGTGTGAAACTTAACCAACCTTAGAAGTAACACTAACACTGAAAACCAAGGAAGAGAAGAACCTATTCCTGCCCAGGAACTATATATAATCTACACAACTGGTTCATTTTTGTGGTAATTTTTCTACAGTTACTAATTGGGCTTTAAGTAGGGAGAAGAAAATGCTGTCTTCATTATGTTTAATTGTTCAGGCCACATAATTCCATTTTAACTAAATAATATAATTTTGGCTAAATGATAAGTAAATACACCAAACATAGTACATATATGCAAACACTACATGGGAATGTGTGTGTATATATATTATATAAGAATGTCAATGTATTTCCCTATCTGATGGCTAAATTATGACAACCTAGCAATATTCTGAAAACAATATATTTAGAAGACTAATATGAAATCATTATTTAAAAATCAAGTAACAGTTTGCTCACAAGATGGATCTCTCAGACGCACGGTTTAAATTTAAAGGCACTGTAGATAATGGTGTGACGCCCTTCCCTCCCTCTCTTCTCCCATACTCACTCATGTACACAGTACCCCAGGAAGAGGAAATTTCAGTTTACTGCTCACTATTTTTTCAATGATATTATGAATATATGTATGTATGTGTGTATATATGTATGCATTTTGGGTGGTACCAGAGTTTGAGCTCAGGCTCTCACACTTGTTAGTCAAGCAATCTACAACCTAAGCCACTCTGCCAGTCTGTTTACTATTTTTGTTGGTGGTGGTGGTCGTAGGGCCTGAACTCAGCTCTTCAGCTCAAGGCTAGTGCTGTACCATTTGAACCACAGCACCACTTTGGGCTTTTTCTGCTTATGTGATGCTGAGGAATCAAACCCAAGGACTCAATCATGTAAGGCAAGCACTTTACCACTGAGCCACCTGCCCAACCCGTTTACTATTTTTAACAAACTATTGTACCAAAGTTATTTTGGTCATTTTTCCTTAAAAAAGAAATCTGGACATTTAAAACTCTAAAAACTTTTTTTGGGGGGGGGTCAGTCATGGGGCTTGAACTCTGGGCCTGGGCGCTGTCCCTGCACATTTCAGCTCAAGATGAGCACTCTACCTCTTGAGCCACAGCGCCACTTCTGGTTTTCTAGTGGTTTATTGTAGATCAGAGTCTCACGGACTTTTCCACCTGGGCTGGCTTTGAACCATGATCCTCAGATCTCAGCCTCCTGAGTAGCTAGGATTACAGGCGTGAGCCACCGGTGCCCAGCTTTCATGTATTATTTTTAAATCTTGTATAATATTCATTTTTGTCCAAGTGAATTTAATTTTACTCAGGAGTACATGTACTTAAACATGTTTAAATAAATGCCATCTATGACAGTTACATTTTTCTAAATAAATGAATGCTTAAGATGTATTAGAAACATGAGGAGGAACATTTCACACTAAACTCTGTACATCATGCTCCTGGTATAAGTAACAAGCTTTCTCACCTGGGCTTAACTCTACCAAGTAGGGCAGCTTCTCAGGGGGAAGAGAGGAGCCATAGCCAGCCCCATCAGCTCTCTCTTTCCCCTTTGGTGGCTTCCCTTCGGCGTGTTTCTTAGTTTTCTTTGAGATATAGTCAGGTGGCCTCCTCTTCAACTGGAAGACTAGAATCCCTAGAATGTTAACAGTAGCAGTCATCAATCAGTGGTAGGGGTGGCCAGCTGCATAGCAGTCCAAACATTATCAACAGCATCTGCTAAAGAATAACTGAGCAAAAGCTCACCCAATTTATAATTTTACTCAGTGAAGGAAATACTAGTCTTTTGGTGACTCTGGAAAACTCGAACAAGCCATTTGCAAAGATTATTTTTAATTAATAACAGCCAGTTACCCAAAGATATCATGTAATTAAAAGCAACACACAATCAGCTTCTGAATAAATGAATGCTTATTCTGATAGATAACCCGATGGTCAGTTAACATATTCCCACACATGGAACATATTCTCACATAAGTTCATATACTCGAAGACTTCTTCATTGATGTGATTTTTTTACAACAGAATTCAGAATTTAAGCCAATTTTTCTTTAATAAAGTTTGTTCTATCTAGAAAATGAGCTAAGCAAGTATTCAATCTGCTTACTTAGTACTTTTTGGTACTGTAAAAATCTGTATTCAAGGGCTGGGAAGGTGGCTCAGTGGTAGAGCGCTTGTCTTGCATGCCTGAGGCCCTGGGTTGGATTCCCCCGCACCACATAAGCAAAAAGAAAAAAGCCGGAGGTGGCGCTATGGCTCAAGTGGTAGAGTGCTAGCCTTGAGCTGAAGAGCTGAGGGACAGCGCCTAGGCCCAGAGTTCAAGCCCCACGACCAGACCCCCCCCCAAAAAAAATCTGAATTCAATATTGGTAGTATTAACTGTCAATCCATTTTTGTGTCCTCATTAATGCAAAGGCACCTGCACCTTACTGAGCAAGTCAACTTTTGCTGTGACTCCAACAGTAAGAAAACTGTATTTCATCAAAAATACAGCTTTAAACTCCTGCTGCTTTGAAACAGAAAAAATTGTCTGAATAGTGCCAAGTATAAATCCTTTATAAGACAGCATTCATCCCTCATCCAAAAATCAAAACTGATCACCACAATGAATTCCAAAACATGACACAAATGGACAACTTAACTCCTAAAACAGGTAGCAGGCAAGATGCAGACATAGTAAAAACACCCTATATCACATCAATGAATTCTGTATTTAGATTTGGATCTCATCTCCGGGGTATCTTATTGTTTATGTGAAGATATTCCAAAATCTGAAAAAAAATCCAAAATCACAGACACTTCTAGTCTTAAGCATTTTGCATAAGAAACAATCAACCTCTATCTTAACTGATTACCATCTTTACAGCCTTGATTACCTTCCCTATCAAAACACATTTGTCCAACTAACATATAGCATCTATGTAAAGTGTTTCACTGCTAATTGGCAACAGTTATCTTCAATCGCTAAGTCTGCTTCTTCTGGCTTTCCTTCTGTAGTGACAGCCTCTGGGCAGGAGACTCAAATGAGCTGAGCCTGGCACCATTGCCAAGACACTACCCCAAGTGTACAAAGGAGGTGGGAAAAAGTGCAGCAAAGAGCCATCAAAAAACATTCAGGTACAAATTTTCCACATCATCTGAGAAACAAGCAGAGCACATAGAAGCCTCACTTCTGCTTTACAATTAGGTCTACTTATACCTTTGTCACTTGGCCATTCCCTGAAGATTTGTAAAGGACACTCATCATCATCAAGAATGATTTCTTTAGCACCTCTCTCATCAGAATGCTGAGCTCCAGGAGGAAGCATGACCTAACAGAGAAATCACATTAACAGTAAATACACTCCAAAAGCCAACGTGGTTTGATTCTGTCATCCTGAGGCTAGCCTCTGCATCAAGGTTCTCTTGTCTTACCTCTACAGTGCTGCTGTTATCATAGGTATGTATTACTTGGCTTGGAAGTACTACTTTTGAATGAATTAAAAAGTCACTGGAAGCTGGGTGCCAGTGGCTCACTCACACCTGTAATCCTACTACTCAAGGAGGCTGAGATTGGAGGATCATGGTTCGAAGCTAGCCTGGGAAGAAAAACTGCCAAGACACTTATTTCCAACTGACCAGTACAAAGCCAGAAGTGAAACTGTGGTTCAAGCAGTAGAACACTTTGCTTGAATGAAAAGCTAAGCAAGAGTTCAAGGCTGAGTTCAAGCCCGAGCACGGAAAAATAAATAATTTTTAAAAATTCATTAGTTTCTTAATGTATATATTCTTCAGTTTAGCTATGGTGTGCATTGTATCCTCTGCTGAAGCTTCCGAAAGGTACAATGAAGTAGCTGCTGGTGGCTCACACCTGTAATCCTAGCTAGTCAGGAGGCTGAGATCTGAGGATCATGGTTCAAAGCTATCTAGGGCAAGAAAGTCCATGAAACTCTTACCTCTAATTAATCAGCAAAAAACCCAGAAGCAGAACTGTAGTTCAAATATTAGAGTGCTAACCTTGAGCAAAAATGCTCAGGGACGGCGTGCAGGCCCTGAGTTGAAGGAAGCCCCAGGACAAGCCCTGAAGGACACGGCAGGGCCAGGCACAGTGGATCTTGCCTGCGATTCCAGCTGCACAGGAAGATCTTTCAGGGACAGCTCTAACTTTTGAACCCAAGCAGCATATTTAGTAAATAATTAATTGAATAGAAGAAGTGAAGACTATGAAACAGCTATAATTTATGAAACAATGAGCTCAGAAAATTAAAAAAATTCTAATTCAGGAAATAACTACAACAAATTCTTCATTTTTACTTTCTCAGCATACAAAGAAAACTGATCAGAAAATAATATAGCAGTAAACCAAAACAACAGAGACTCTCGAAGAATCCAGCAGGGCAACCTAATACCTGAGAGAAGAGAGGGAGGATCATGAATTTGAGACCTGGGTAGTTGCCTCTGTTTGCCTTCATGGGGTCAGTCATATGGCTTGAACTCTGGGTCTAGGCGTGTCCTCAGCTCTTCAGCTCAAGGCTAGTGCTCTACCACTTGAGCCACAGCGTCACTTCTGGTTTTCTGAGTGGTTTATTGGAATAAGAGTCTCACAGACTTTTCCTGCCCGGGCTGGCTTTGAACTGTGATCCCCAGATCTCAGCCTCCTGAGTAGCTAGGATTACAGGTATGAGCCACCGGCGCCCAGCTTCCATTTTTGTAGTTAGGTCATAAACGTTTAATGGTGAAGAGTAGATAGGGCTTTGCACACTAACATAGTATGGCCTGCACCAGAAAGAGATGAGCTTCCTCTGGTGGGTAGGATGCATGTTTGGGCTTTTTTTTTTTTGTCCTTCATGAGGCTTGAACTCTGGGCCTGGGCGCTGTCCCTCAGCTCTTCAGCTCAAGGTTAGGGCTCTACCACTTGAGTTACAGCGCCACTTCTGGGTTTCTGGTAGTTTATTGGAGATAAGAGTTTCACAGACTTTCCTGCCCGGGCTGGCTTTGAACCGAGATCCTCAGATCTCAGCCTCCTTAGTAGCTAGGATTACAGGCATGAGCCACCGGCACCTTGCTATGTTTGGGCTTTTCTTTTCCTTTTTTGTTTTGTTTGTTGTTTGGGGGCTTTTTGTTTACAAAACATATAACAAAATAATAAATCCTGAAAAAAAAACAATGGCTAGGAACATAGTTCAAGTGTCTATCTAGCAAACATGAAGCCCTGAATTCAATCTCCACTACAGGGGGAAAAAAATCAGATAACCTAAAAGTGACTGTCAATAAAGACTCAAAGTACATAGGGCTTTAACATATTCATGACCTTAATCAATGTATTACATTTTTTTAAATTAATTTATTTCACTGTTATTATAGAGGTGATGTATAAAGGGATTACAATTACATGAGTCAGGTAATGAGTTCATTTCTTTTCATACAGTGTCTTCTGTTCCCTCATCTCTCTCAGTCCCTCCCTCCTGTCTCCATCCACAATTTGCATATTTCACTTTCATCAATGTCCAGTGAGCTATACTCCACTGGATAATTTTTCTTTCTTTTTTTTGGGGGTGGGGGGTGGGGGGATCCAGTCGTGGGCCTGAACTCTGGGCCTGGGCGTTGTCCCTCAGCTCTTCAGCTCAAGGCTAGAGCTATACCGCTTGAGCCACAGCACCACTTTCTGGCTTTTTTCTTTTTGCTTATGTGGTGCTGAGGAATCGAACCCAGGGCCTCGAGCATGCAAGGCAAGCGCTCTACCACTGAACCACCTTCCCAGCCCCACTGGACAATTTTTCAACCTTTTTCCCTCAAGTTCTGTACCTTCTCCCAACCCTCCTGAAGATAGACACTTGAATACACCATACATAAGGAAAAGAATACCAAATCATCAAAAAATAATTTTAAAAAAAAGCTCTTGTTTCTATATCTTGGAGTTCATTTTGATATATATATATATATGTAATTAAATATGAAGAGGTACATAGGCATTGTCTTTGTGTGCACCCCCCCAGACCCTCTCTCCTCCCTCTCCCCCCTACCCCCCCCCCAGGCCACCTCAGAGCCACAGTGCCACTTCTGGTTTTCTGGTGGTTAATTGGAGATCAGAGTCTCACCGACTTTCTTGCCCAGGCTGGCTTCGAACCGTGACCCTTAGATCTCATCCTCCTGAGTAGCTAGGATTACAGGTGTGAGCCACTAGCACCCAGCTTGTGTGTCTGTCTTAAGAGCTTGTGTCTCTCTCTTAAGAGAATTCTCTTGGTCTCACTGTGTGCAATTAGCTAGAATCATGTACAATTTATCACATCCCAGTGTATTTTAGATCTAATTTCTACATATCAGAGAGAACATGGATCAATGTATTCTTTAATTTTTTTAAATTTCCATCAGTGAGAGAGAACTATGTTAGGAAGTTCACTATCATACGCTGAATGATATGTAATCTTACAGAACTGATGATGAGATAGACTGATATAAACACATTCCCTTGGCAAACACTTACACAACACCAGGTTTCAGGTGTGATGTGAAGCATTCTTAACGCACTCTCCCTCAGTGTATAGAATTGAATAGGGGACCCAGCTAGAAGATGGCCAGTAACAAGAGTCTTGTCTTCACTACTATCCATTGATATTACTTGACTTAGAATATTTGTATAGCAGTTGAGAACCAATTTTATGTTTAGGGAACACATTGTTACATCCCCCACACCCACGGTCTTATAGGTAAATTCTGTCTCTAATGTGCACGACAGTATTTGCAAGTATTCTGCTGCACCATCATCTGGTAAAGCCTGTATTACATTAGGGCTCTTCTGTACTTTGTATTGACCTGCCAGAAAGAAAATGAACTAGAAGTCTGTCTACCTCAAGTCTTTTCCTTCTGAGAAAAAAAAGCCTCCCACTGACACTCCACGCTCTCAGCTTTCCTCTAGCTGGGCAATGATAATGTTGCTGGGATAGAAAAGAAAGGCTGCTACCTCTTACAAAAATCTGCAACCCCTTTTCTTTTCAGTCTAACTCTCATCAACGCCTTAGCAAGTAACAAGCCTCCAACTCCGGGGTGGCCCTGCGGTGGGGCCACACAGGCACCTGCCTGCTTCGCTGTGGTGTCTTCACTGCAGGCTTTCTCTGATCTAGTCACTCAGCAACCACTAATCACACCTGCAAAATCCCATGGAAAACTCTGCCCTCATCATCTCTTGCAGTATCTTTGATATTGTGCCTTTTATCAGTTTTATCCTTTATCATCATTTCAGAGTGAGGAAAGCATCTGTTTTCTTGTCTTTCTCAGCTATAAACGTAAGATTACAGATGCACTAGCTTTTCCTTTTTCAGTAAACCTCCAGCAAGTTCTTGTGTTAATCCATCTTTAGCTAATGAAAAGGTATAAGGGCCTCTACAGTGAACACATAGATAGACTGCTGAAAGAATTACTGAAGAGCTGCTCTCTCCACTGAGAGACTAGAAGAAGATACTTGGTGGAAAGTCTTGAAGTTCAACTACAGATGTCAGCCAAATGCAGTCATAACCCTAGTCCTAGCAGGTTCTGCGTAGAGACTGACAAGATGGTTCTAAAACGTATACAGAAACACAGATAACCCAGAATAAAACATTTCATAAAGCAAAATCAAAGAACAACACTGTCACTCATTGATTTTATGGTCCTTGTAAATCTACAGTAACTAGGCAGATCACTGCCCAAAAAGATAGTCATTTTTAGAATCTGGGGAGGGGAAGGGATATAACAAAATGCTTAAATAAGGATACAGGTTGACCCATTGTAACAATGAGATGTACAAGACACTATGTTGAAAACGAATTTTACAGCTTGGTGGGGGGGAGGGGTGGAGTTGGGGAGGTGGGTGGGAAGGGATGGTGAGGGAAAAACAAAGGAGGATGTAACAATGCTTGATAGGAAATGTACTCATTACCCTACTCATGTAACTGTAACCCCTTTGTATAATATTTTTACAATAAAAAATATATATGGAAAAAAAGATGGTCATTGTACGTCAAGAAAGCACAGGTCCAGAAATTGAACCACACATTCATGAGATCAAATAACTTTAGACAAAGGTATTAAAGAATCTAATAGAGAAAATAAAGTGTTTCTGACAAAAAGTGCAAAAGCAATAGGGTACTTGTATGGAAAAGATGAACACTAGCTTGGAATCACTGGCTCAGTTTGAGGTCAGCCCCGGCAAAAAGTTTGCCAGCTCCTCTTTCAATCAACAGCTGGGTACAGTTGTCTGCATTTATAATCCCAGCTACAACAGGAAACATAAATAAAACATACATAAAACAATAAACAAATGAAACAAATAAAAAGCAAATAAAAGCAAAAAGGGAGAATCTATCTGGAAAAAAAAAAGTAACTGAGAACAAAAAGGGCTGGAGATATAGCTCTAGGTGTAGAATACCAGTACAAAGTCCTGAGTTCAAACCCCAGTACTACCAAAAGTAAAGAGAAGAAACACTAACTTTTATCACACCAAACCAAACATTAACTTGACAAACCTAAGTAAAAAAACTAAAACTAAGAAAGAATTTTTTTTTTCCCTGCATCTTGTATATATTAGGCCGGGCACCAGTGGCTCAGGCTTGTAATCCTTGCTACTCAGGAGGCTGAGATCTGAGGATCGTGGTTCAAAGTGAGCCTGGGCAGGAAAGTCTGTGAGACTCTCATCTCCAAAAAACCACTGGAAAACCGGAAGTGGTGCTGTGGATCAAGTGGTAGAATGCTCGAAGAGCGCAGGGACAGCGACCAAGTCCAGAATTCAAGCCCCATGACCGACAAAAAAAAAAAAAAGGAAGAGAAAGATTATTATGTGATTTGCAGGGAAATGGATGGATCTAGAATAATGTTAGAACATCCTTACAGTCCTAGGTTAACTACTCATGAAAATATACGTTCACGGGCTGGGAAGGTGGCTCAGTGGTAGTGCTTGCCCTGCATTCATGTGGCCCTGGGTTCGATTCCTCAGCACCACATAAGCAGAAAAAGTCAGAAGTGGCACTGTGGCTCAAGTGGTAGAGCACTAGCCTTGAGCTGAAGTGCTGAGGGACAGAGCCCAGGCCCAGAGTCCAGGCCCCACAGCTGACCAAAAAAAAAGAAAATATACGTTCACTTGTACACATACAATCACAGCCGATTTATCTAAAGAGTCAAAACTTCAAAAGTGGAAACAGCCCAAAAGTACACCAACTGGCATGTGATTTACTTCTGTGGTATATGTATTAAAATACTAGTTAACAACAAAAAGGAATTCTTAAAAATCAGAAACAGTGGTGAATGTGAGTCTCAAAATCATCTTGCGGATGAAACCAGTCAAAAAGAGTACTTAGCATATGATGCTATTCATATAAAAATTTTAGAAAATTTAAGCTAGAGTGATGGACAGAATGGGGATGGGTCACAAAGAAGTACTAGGAAACTGAAGATGGAAAAAATATTCATAGAATTGAAATATCAAAACTCCTGGAACTATCTATAGGCTTCAAATGTCTGTTGTACTTTATTCCTCAGTTACATTGTAGGAAAAAATTTTAAATAGTTATTCTATTTTAGTATTAAACAATTACTTGCTAAGACAAGGGATATGAATATATCTTTGCTTTAAAAGCTACTGCCAGTTGCAATGCTGACAGCAAAACTGCAATAAATAAGTAATTGTGACTGAATTAAAGATAAAAATTTTCCATATTATTTACTAACTCAATAGAATATTGCTAGACTTTCCTGAAATATAAAACACCACTGTTTCTTGAGTGCTAGAGTAAAAAAATGGAATCTTTATCTCTAAAAACGTATAGGTAACTATTAGACAATATAATTGGTATTACAGACTTTAGTACAATAAAATTACCTATGCAAGATGGTTAATCGTGATTCCAATCTGGTTGGCTTAAGAGAAGCCTTGAGATCAGTAAAGCATGTCTGCGTAACTGAGTGAAGATGACTGAACCTGAATGTGGGTGATGTTGTCCAAAAGGCTAGGGGCCTGTATGGAAAGGAGGAGGAGCCAGTGTATAAACTCCACTCTTCCTGAACAAGCGGATCAATTCCTGTGACCATCACCCATGGACATCAGACTCCACAGCCTTTCAGCATGATCTCATGCCACTGTCTCTCCAGGGGCTCACAGACTCTCAGCCAGCTGGAGAGAACAGCTCTACTCTTAGTGAACCAGTGTGCCTCCCCAGTGGGGCCATCAACCATGAATCTCAGACTGTAGTTTCTTCAGTCTCTTCAGTCTCTCAGCAGAGACCCACACTAGCACCTCTCTAAGAGTTCAAGACCTTCAGATATGAACTCAGATTTCATGATGCGTAACACCCTGTTCTGAAGCTTTTAGCTTCATGAACCAAGCATCTGCTAGTTCTCTGTCTCTGAAGCATATAGTGCACATATTTACGTGCGCATGCATGCACACACACACTCTCACTCTCTCTTTCATTCCATTGGTTTTACAGAACCCTGATTAACAAACTATATAAGCAAAATAAGAATTGGAAGGATGTCTATCAAAATGCTAATGGTGTAGTTTTCCTTTCAGCCTGTTTTCTTCATTTGTCTTTTCATATTTACTTCCTAAAGGAACATATATTATTTTTGTGCTGGAAGAGACACTGTTTTCATAAATATCTATCACATGGCTTCAGTTTCTCAGACTCTCAGTGATAGTGTGGGGAGAAACTGGGTCTAGGTTTAACTTTTAAAAACTCAGGACGGCGGATGGAGAGACAAAGGGTAGGCAAACAGAGTCATACTATTCAATGTACTTATGTCTTAAAGGAATGGGTGGGGTTGGAAAAGATCGGGGAGAGTGATGGAAGGGGTAACACTGATCAAAATACAATGTACTCATAAAGTGACACGTTGACTTGAAACTTCTTTGTACAACTGCTTAAAGATAATCTTAAAGTAAATGAATCAAATAAACTGAAACAAAACCAAACAAAATGAAAAGAAAAAAACAGGATCTCTTTCTGGATGTAAGTGTACAGTGCACTGGCAAGAGCAACTGACATGGCAGTTACGCACCCGAGCAATGCAGTAGTCCTTAGGGTTTTCTTTCTCCAGACCGTACTTCTCTAAAGCTTCAGCCACCGCAAAATCTGCAGGGTCTGTAGTTGACAGCAGGATCGTCTTGTAGGGAATATTTGGTTTTAAACTGTCTGCATAAATTCTCAATGTTCCCCCTGGAAAAATAAATGTCTTTGAGCATAACTTTATTGTAAACAGTTAACAGAAATATTTACAACTGCGGGCATGCCAGCTGCATCAGGTCAAAAGCAAATTCTACACCACCAACTCCATGCTATTTCCTGTGAGATGACACACATCAGCAGCCACCTGCGGACCTAGTGACACTCTGCTATGGGCAACAATCCTGCCTGACAGGTCAGTCTTCTTTTCATGGAGAAGAGCTTTGACAACAGCAAGCTGATTGACCTCCAAAGGAAAGGGAAGGCTTGGAGTTTCTCTGTGGTGTGGCGCTCTTCTACCCCCATGTTCCCAGCCCTAATTCCTCCACTTCTACTTTCTGAACCTCAATCTGAATCAAGTTAATGATTAGCCCGGCTAAAGAAGCTTATTTTTAACAAGAGAACTAGGCAGCAAAAGAACTCAGGTGCTTAAGTCTAGATTCTTCGGAGGGATTTGCCACTAGAATGGGGTTCTGGTTTTTTGGTTGTTGGTGGTTTCTTTGTTTTGTTAATAGTGAAGTTTGAATCCAGCAACTCAAAACTTGATCAGTTTGCTTGCTGGCTTAACTGGTATTCAAGATGTATTTTATATATATATATATATATATATATATATATATATACTATAATATTGAATTGAAACCCCTCTGAACAACTATTTAAACATAAAAAAGTATTCTTTAAAAAGTAGGGAAAACTCAAGAAAGCAAGGGAAGGGATGATATTGTCCAAAAAGAAATGTACTCTTTAACAGACTTATATAACCATAACCCCTTTGTATATCATCTTTATAATAACAATAAAAAATGTTTAAGGACATGTGATATAATATAGAAAGGGTATGTGCTAAATGCTAAGACAAAACTTTAGTGATCCTAATGTTACAGACTACAGAGATTTAAGGACAGAATTTACCAGAAAGTCACTAAAGAAAATCAGCATGGGTTCTATAGGTATTTCCATTTTGAGCAGCACTTCTTTTAAGGGTACATCAAGGTGAAGCCGCCATAAAACTCACATCCATGTGGCCAAATGATGGTTACTAAATGAAATTATTTTTATTACTTGATGGAATGTGGTTTTAGTATATGGAGCATTAAGTCATTCTGAAACAAAATACAGTAGGTATGGGTCTAATTAAAAAGACTTCTAGTTCTAAAGTGTAAAATCATGGTACTATCTCAACAAAGATATATAGCTATAAATTGCCAAAGAGAGCATTAACTAACATCGATCTGTACAAATATACATTTCAGTTCCAAAGCGACAGGTGCCTTACTCCAACCCCATGCTGAAGACAGACACGCAGAGGTCAGGAAGAACACCGGGTCCCAACAGCACCCCTGCACAAGACTCATGTCCTTCCATACTTGCAGTGACCTGCTACAACCAGACAGTGTACAACACTGTGGTAGACAAGAACCAACTCTCCAACAGCTCTTCCACTCCTGTTATTACACTTCCCAAAGAGAAATGGCCCACCAGCAGTTGAGACAGGGCATCTTTGGGCCAACCACACTTTGAAGATATCAAAGAATGAATACACCTGAGTATTAAGAAAGCTTTACAAGTCCACTCTGAGTCAGGACGCCTGACCTGCTTCTCAGACATACGAAGAGTGTGTGAGTCACAGCATCAGAACTCGTGGGGCATCCTGCCTGCCACCGTCCCACGATGGAACCCATCTTCTACCCAAAAATAACTGCTCACTTCACAGTCCCATAACATCTCTCCAATTTCTCTTTAGGAAAACCCAGTCAATCATAGGTCCTCATATTCTACAATGTGGACATTCTTCAGTTTCTTCTTTATGGTCGTCTCGTGAAAGATGGAAGACCAGAGACCCCAGTGCTCCTCATGGACAAGGCAATACAACTGTGAATGTGCTATTTCTAATCATAGACCTCAAGGCCGTCCTCTGGTCCTCTAGTCATCTGTCTGGATCTGAACCTGACCCCAAACTGAGAGCTTATCAACCTCAAGCTTAAAACTCTAAAGCCTATCAAACAGCACCTATTCAAAGAGCATCCTATTTTCTTAAAACTACCCTCAAATGCTGCATTCTAATCCATCTCATCATGAACACATTGTATTTACTGACTTAGAAAAAGGCACACACGAAGCTGGCTGTCTCTATCAGGACTCACATGTTCCTCAAGAGAGCCAGGATGCACCTGCAGAAGCTGGTTGTGATGACAGCCAGGCTCCTTCCCCTACACAGATGTACCTTCACATCTGGTACGTGCTCAGCACAAACAGGTATTTGAATGTTCCATTTGTCCTTTCTAAAATTTTGGCTTTCTTTTTGGTTTATATTTTCTCTGCTTCTCCTAATCTTTTCTTCTTTTTTCTTGATACATACATTTGTAAGTACTTTCAAATCCTTGATAGGATAAGAAAATACATTGAAACATTGAGGTCTCAAAACTATCCTCCTACAATACTAATGAAATCAAAAGTCCCTTGCTCCCCTAGTTATTTGCTTTTGTTTTTGTTTTGTTTTGGAGACACAGTCTTACTATGTAATCCAGGCTGACCTAAAATCTGCAATCCTTCTGCCTCAGCATGCTAGAGTAACGGGTGTGCATCACTTCACCCAGCTATCTGAAGGTTTTTTTAGTCACCAACACTATCACAATTTCCGTGCAATAACTGACTGACTCAACTTCAGGCCGCGAGGGCTGGGATAAGTCTTGGAGGAGAAAGCAAGCTGTGAGGCCAATGTTGCTCACAGCTCAGACTATCGCCACCCCTGCTCTGGAAGGCACTACACAGCTCTGAATCCTCAGCCAACTGTTAGGTGGCAGAAGCAGGTGCACCTCACAGCACACAGTCCACAGACTCTGCCTCCTGAATGTAGATCACAGGCTGATAAAACGTATGTCTACACATGAACACAAGCATAAGCACAGCTCCTCTGCACAGACCAAACCTGTTGCCATACACATGTATACTATTAAAAATGACCCTGGAGTCAGGCTTGGATTCCAAAGAGGAGGTTGCAAATTAAACACACCTCTTCACCATATTACTGGATTAGGCCTAAGAAAGGTCTACCAGTCCTAACACCCAAATTCCTACAACTCTCAAAGAAGTTCTCAAGTGTACAAAGGCAGCACTGCACTGTCCAATTCTAAAGAACTTTCTTCAATGTTAACATTACAAAGAGAAAGATGGAGTTGATGGCGACACATCAAACTTTCGGGGATGAATAAATCAGTAAGACAGGGCTTGAGTTATTTGGAACCCCAATAGTTACCCTTTTTTTGGTAAGCAATTGAAACTATGTTACTGTGAATGTCTAACTATAAAATATGTATTATCTTTGCAGGGTTCAATTACAAGCTAGTTCTAAGTAAAAACTTCATGCTAAATGTCTAAAAATATATAAAACCAGTACCAGTTCAGACAGTAAAGTCAACTATTTCAATTCTTTTTTTTTCCCTTGTCAATCATGGGGCTTGAACTCCTGGGCACAGTCCCTCAGCTCTTCTGCTCAAGGATGGCACTCTACCACTTGAGCCATAGCACTACTTCTGCTTTTCTAGTGGTTAACTGGAGATAAGAGTCTCTTGGATTTTCCTGCCAGGGCTGTCTTTGAACTGTGATCCTCAGATCTCAGCCTCCTGAATAGCCACCGGCACCTGGCCTTTCAATTCTTTTTATAATACCCATCTCACTGAGATGTATTCGGTAACTCTTGATTGCTGGCAAGTGGAAGTGCTGTGTACCGTGCATGCGGGCCAGTGAAGTGCAGTACGCAGTGTATGGCCATTTACACAAATACAGATATGCTGGCAATGGATAGGCAGTACACAGTGTACTTCCACTTATAAAGCGTAAAAATACAGTGTGCTGTGCACTGCCACTGACTTCTCTGTCTCTATACTTTACCCTGGAGATGTAACTTTAAAACGATCAGCTCTAAATTTTAAAGGAGAAAATCCTTAAAGTGAAAAACAAAACAAACCTAAGTGTAAATCAATATATACATACTGCCACATAAATAAGAATTATGTGACCGTAAAAGGCAGCAATTCAATGTACTTGTAGACTATACCCATACACAATCTCACAAAATCTTAAAATGTTTTCAGTAAGTGAATTCTAACACTTCTATTTTTATTCTGATACTATTATTAGGTAGCATAGAAAGAAAAAGGCAAACAATGATACTAAGGTTGTTAGGAAGCAAGAATGTTATTATTGTAAAGGATATCTAGATCTTCTAAGATCACAATCGTTAAATGAAGGAAGAACTCCTTACACCAGTAGCTCTCTCTTAGCCGGATATTACAAGTGCAGCTGAACAGAATCCTGTCCACTAAGAAAACTACCCAAAACCACTGGGACTATTTAGGACTTGGGAGCAAAATGGAAGCCTCTCCAAGACTCTAGACATTAACCCAGCAAATCAAAAAGGCATGAAGAGTTTTAAAATCCATGAGTTCATTAGAATTTTTGACAGTCACGGGCTACCTTTAGAGGATACTCAAGTATTCTCATCCCTTCTATATCTATATGTATACCAACAGATATAAATACTGATATACACATCTATCCCAGTATCTGTATCTGCAACTGTATCTAAATTTAATCAAGGTAATTGAGAAGATAGGAAAATGGTGAACAGATCAAAAGGACTAGAAGTAAAATCTGTGAGACAAAGGATCTTGGTTCTTAAGATAAATCAAACCAACAAAACAAAGAAGCAAAGTAAAAATGGAAATTTCAGAATGACAAAAAATAAATCAACATAGGTCTAATTTGGATCTCAACTCAAAAGTAAGATGACAAAGTATGTGATAGTATTAAAGAATTACTGTCAATTCTTTTATATATGATAATGGTACTGGGATCAATTTTGTTTTGTTTGTTCAAGAATCTTCACCCTTCAAGAAAAATGTACCAAAACATTTAGAGATGAAACAGTTTGTAATGTGCTTCAAAATATTAAGTTTCAGAATAAGAGAGCAATGTATTCTGGAATGGAAAAGAAGTCTTAGTTGTTTCTTCATTAGTTGGTGAAGGGTACATAGGATACATATATCTTCTTTTGTACAGATTTGAAATTTTCCAGAAAGACCTATAAGACATATATGTTCATGAAAATTTATATACACACATATCCATATGTTAACAAGAACACATTTACATAGAACATGGTTCTCATCTGGGGACTGTTTAGAGGGATGAAGGGAGAGAGAAGGAAAACAAAGATGGAGATGAATAAGTTCAAAATACACTGAAACTAAGTATGAGGATAATATAAGGAATCTCAATGAAAGTTGTTGATCAACAGGAGTTAGTAGAATGATGAAAGGGAAAAAATAGTTATTCTGATTAAAATATAATATATGCCCGTTTGAAATACCATGGTGAAACCCTTTAGTATAATTTATATAGACCAAAGAACAAAATGAACTACAGAAAAGTAAGACAGGTTCTGTTGGGTATGAAGGGAGGGCCAGGAGGTAGAGAGGGCAAATAAACCAAATAAGGATGAATATGGCTGAAGCCATTTACTTACACATATGAAAACAGAATAATGAAACCTGTTAAAACTGTTTTAAGAAGCAATGGGCTAAGTGAAAGCAACAGAGGAAGTTAGTTTGAACAGGATATACTACATGCCTATACAAAAATGTCACAGTGATATCCTAACTTGTACAACTAATGTATCATTTAAAAAAAAAAAAAGGCCAACCTGGGGGACTACATGTTATCAATGTCATTTCTATGTGAACAGAATTCTTTGTAGGACACATATAGTACACATTTGTATACTACCTCACCCACTGTTTTAGTTAAGAAAGACTGATGTATATACAACAAGTGTAATCAATGCTCTTTACAAAAAATCTGGAAAAAAACGATGCAACCTGTACCTGAATCAGGCCGCCCATCAGAACTCCGAAACTCTTGCATTCTCTTTTCCAATTTCTGTTGTCTCCGCCGCTTCATTACTACCTCAGGATTAGAAATTGTTCGAGTAAAGCTGGTTTCAGGCATGTCTTTATAAACTTCAGCAGCCAGACGAGAATTCTCACTACATAGAAAAAAAGCATCAATGACATTTAAAAAATTTTCCCATTAAAATACAAAATCACAGAAAAACTAGTGACAATGTCATCTGTGCTCTGACAGATCTGTTATGTACTATTTATCATTTGTTTTTACCATGATTAACAACAACAACAAAAAAGTTAGTCATATAAGCAGCAACTAAAATTAAAACTTCATCAACTTATACAACTTAGTGGTTGTATATTCAAAAAGAAACTTATGCATTTCAATAATTTTCATCAGTTTAATCCTAATAGCAAATAAATAATACTGTACCACAACATTCAAAATACAAGAAATATTTATTTACTTAAGAATCCCATTTAAGCCAGGCACCAGTAGCTCACGCCTGTAATCCTAGCTATTCAAGTGGCTAAGATCCGAAGATCAAGGTTCAAAGCCAGCCCAGGCAGGAAAGTCTATGAAGCTCTTATCTTCACAAAAAGCCAGAAGTGGAGCTGTTTCAAAAAATGGAGTGCTATCCTCAAGCACCAAAGCTTAGGGACAGTGCCCAGACCTCAGAGTTCAATTAACTTTTTTTTTTTATCTGAGACCAGTTTTCAACTTGGCATCTGATGCTTTTGCTCACTGGCTAGTGTTCTACCAACTGAGTTATGCCTCCATCCCCTAAACTTCTAACGGATATATGCCCATGTTTTACTATGCCTGGTGATATAGCAAGTGTGTGTTAAAGCACAATTCTCAAATTTGTTACCTATCATCCCCTTGAGAAGGTCTATCCTCTTTATCCGATGCCTGTCTCAATGCCTCTTTTTCTCTTTTCTTCTTTTCCTTCTTTTCTTTCTTCGAAAGGGTTCTCTTGAAGTTCTGGATAACACCTTCTTTTTCCTGCTTCTCAGGTCCATTGCTCTGAGCCTTCTGATAAAATTAACATTGTCATCTTTTTTTTTTCTTCTTTTTTTTATTATGAAAATACTGTACAGTGGGGTTACAATTACATGGGCAAGATAATGAGTACATTTCTTATCAAGCATTGTAGCCTCCTCCTTTGTTTCCCCTTCCCATCCCTTCCCATTCTCCCCCCATCCCCCCCCAATCCTCCCCATCCCTTCCCCCCCCCGCCCCCGCAATATTGTCATCTTGTTGGCCACTACCTAGGAATCACCCAGGCACCTCATAACCAAGCTACGTTCACTTCACAAGCTACAGCCAAACATAACGCTACGGAACACGGAACAAGGTTTGAGGTGATGTCAATATTCTGTACCACAATGAGGTGATGATGATATATGCATTTACTAAAACCAAGTGAACTGTAAAGTCAAGATCTACTCATTTTAGGCCTGAGACATAGCTCAAGTGGGAGGCCTAGCAAGCATGAGGCCCTAAGTTCAAGCCTCTAGTACCATCAACACCACCAAAGAAACCCAAAACTATGCATTCCATCATATCAAAATTTTGTCTTAATTTATAATAAGCAAGCAAAAAACTAAAAACAAACAAAAAAACCCTCAAAATTAGTATAATCATGAAAATTTGATTTTCAGCAAATTACCATCAAACACCTGAGTAAAAGGGACCTAATGAAAATATGAAAACAGGAAGTCTAAAGCACCACCTCCTCCACAGGCATTTTTCTTTTAAGCTCAATGGAAATGTTAAGAATAGCCACAATAAGCTGGCTTTTATAATTCAAAGCTCTTACACATTGTACTTCTACAAAAATGCCTTCTTTTTTAGAAATCATTCATACCCTTATTCTTAATTTGTATTTCAACAGATGACACGGAGCCACAGTATGTGAAAACTTAACAGGTAAAGAGTTTAAAAATAGGAAAAAGAACATTGTCTTGGGAAAGAAAAGTTACCATTCAGAGAAAGTGATCTCTACATGACAAAATGGGAAACAAAAAAAATCAATATCCCATTTTCTCTAGCAGCACTGTGATGGCCCTACTCAGGTTCCAGCCTGTCCACCTAGGTCTGTGGTCCACAGCAAAGCACAGAGAACAGCATTAGTTGACACAAACTGAAATTAAACATGGCCAGCAAATAATGGAAACCATTCCAAGTGTGTATCCATCTGTTGAAACGTGAGCAAGGTCAATTACATATCTGTAAGCTGAGCACCAGTGGCTCACAACTGTAATCCTAGCTACTAAGAAGATTGAGATCTAAAGATCATGGTTCAAAGCCAGCCTGGACGGGTAAAACCCATGAGACTCTTAGCTCCAATTAATCACTATAAAGCTGTAAATGGAACTGTGGCTCAAGTGGTAGAGTACTAGCCTTGAGCAAAAAAGGGACAGTGCTCAGGCCCTGAGTTCAAGTCATAGTACCAACACAAAAACCAAACTAAGATAGAAAACTTCTTTGAAAAAATGAGGAGCAACATTGAGATTACCAGGTGAAATAAAAGACTAAGAGAAGGAAAAGCCATTCTTTTTTAGAAACGCATTTAGGAAGGGAAGCAAAAAGGAGTAAGAGCTGCTATGACAAAACATCAAAACATCAATCTTCTCACAGCCCCCGTCTTATTCCCCCAGAGCCAGACAGGGCCGGGATGACAGCCATGTCAGACCCGAGTGAAGGCTCCCACCTTAGCAGGGGCTGCGTCGTTCTCGTTCTTCAGGACAAATCTGCCCTCCCGATCGTCTTTGTTCCAATTCAACTGCACGACTAGAGGCTTCTCATCAATGTCCAATCTTCTTTCTTCTTCAACACATGAAGTGGAAGAAAAAACACAAGGCATGGTTATTCCATGGCATGAGTAGAATAACCTGTCCTGTGATGTATACTGCACAGACGTAAGTCCTCCAGCAACCTGCCAACACACTGGAATCGTTCATCACTTTAAATCAGATTTTATTAACTGGGCACTTGGGTGCTAATGTGGTTCTAGTTATAACAGAAGTTTCTTTTAAGGGGCCTTTTAAAGAGAGTAAGCATCTTTGTGGTGCATAATAATATACTGCAATGAAATCATTAGGATAGGCAATACAAAGGAGTACTTTGGAGTTGATTACTCAATGAAAAGATTGGAAGTACAACCAGCCTATGTCATGAAGGTCAGGACAGCTTGCCTTTCATTGTCACGACATCAGCTAGACAGGCAGGAGGAAAAGCACACCATGGAGCACAGAGATAGATATTCACTACAATCTCAAACAGAGGACCCAGAATTCTCTCAGTTGGTCTAGCATTTCTAATGCTATACCCACAATTTAAATATTAAATGAGCACTACCAAAACAAAAGGCAAACAATCCACCTGATAATGATAATGGTGATGAACTAGTGTTAGCAAATATGGTCCAAGTACCTATCAGAAAATGCTACAAGGAAGCCAGTAAGACCAGGCAGCGAGAGCAGTTCCAGGTTAACCATAGAGAAGGAACAAGGGTGAAGCAAGAATGAACAAAGGCCAAGAACCGCTGGCTCTTGCCTCTAGTCCTAACTACATAGGAGATTGAGGATCACCGTTTAAAGCTAAGGTGGATTCTCCCAACTCATCACTAAAAATCCAGAAGTGAAGCTGTGGCTCAAGTGATAAAGCGCTAGCCTTGAGCAAAAAGGCTCAGCACCCAGGCCACAAGTTCAAGCCCCAAGACTGGCAAAAAAAAAAAAAAGAAAGAAAAGAAAAGAGAAGAGAAGAGAAGAAAAGGAGAGAAAAGAAAAAGAAAAAGAAAAAAGAGAATAGACAGTATTTAAAAGGACATGGAGACTTACTGGCTCTTAATAAATATTACATATAAATATCAGTGCTAAGTACCAAATACAAGAATAAAGCAAATTATTATTCTATTAACTAAAAATATGAGACACATTAACATAAAAAGGAGATCAAGAATGGTGCTGAGGCCCACCTATCATCCTAGATTCTTGGGAAGTGACATAAGCAGGATTGTGGCTTGTTATCTGCTCAGTAAAAAGTAGTGAGACCCACAACTCAACATATAGGCCAGGCATAGTGAGAGCCTTCTGTAATCCTAGCTATGTGTAGAGGTAGGTAGGAGAGCTACAGTTGGAAGCCAGCCTGGGCAAAAACATAAAATACATTTATATAAAAATACCTAAAAATAACTGAATAAAAACATATAAAGCAAAAATAAATAAATAGGAGGGGGCAGGACAGAATTAATAAATCTGAATTCATTTCATAAAAAAATTATCCAGTGTTTTCTCACAAGATTTATACAAGATCAAACCCCCTCAGGAGTCATGGCTAACTTTTAGGAATGAACATGAAGATGGAGGAAACCAGGCGGCTATTCCTAGAGCATAGCCAAGAATCACCTGTGAACTGGAGGTCTCTGAGCGGTCTATAACCTCCCAACTCCAAGATGCCTTCTGCTTAGTGATGGCACACACGCTTACCTTCCACAGCTAACTCAAATCCCTAAGAGAAATCCTATTTCTAAAAGAATAAACATGTAGTTTTCCTGTAGTTGATATGAGGGTGGAATCCAGGCCTTAGCCATATAAGCTGGCAGTTAAGACATGCCAGGAAGCCCGGTACCGTGTGGAGAAATGAAGTGTTCAGGAACCCTGGCTCCCAGTGGCTCCTGGTGCACTGTGCAGCAGCTTCTCAATCCATGTGGCCTGACACAGTCATGAATGGACGTGGACGGGAGACCAACAGCGAGGACCACTGAAGGCTCCAGCAGGCCCAGGAGGCACAACCTTGTCAGTAGCAGTCGTGATCAAAACTGAAATGAAAACTTAGCTTTCCTTTCATTTTATGTGCTATTTTTTTCAAACATCTACCACATTGTTAGCTGTTAAATACTTACCAATAGTCTGAATTTACCTACTTAATAAATAACAAATAGGCTTCCTTGGTTGGGTGATGCCTTAAACAGGACTGAGATATCAAGGCTGGAGTGTTAATGCTTGCCTCTAGCATGCCCACCATTATGGGGGAGGAAGGTACGACAGCTGCCAGGGCTCAGTGAAACTGCCCTGAAGAAGGAAAGGAGCTGCATGCCTGCACTCCTGACACCAAGGCCCAGGTCTCAGGTGACACACCAGTGTGGTGTGCAGAAGGTGTACAGGGCCTGGGTGTAAGGGGGAAGACTACTTCCTCCTCCTTTGAATAGTTCCATTTCATTTTCCTTTTTAATTCAGAATGAGCCCATGGCTCATGCCTATAATCTATTACTTGAGTCTGAAACCTGGAGGATCACAGTTCAAAGCTAGTCTGGGAGGAAAAGTCCATGCATCTCCATCTCCAAAATAACCAGCAAAAAGCCATCAAAAAGCATGGCTCAAGTGTTGAGTGCCATCTGAACAAGCAGGCTGAGAAAGCTTGAGGTCCTGAATTCAAACCCCAGTACAACCAAAAGTTAAAAAGAAAAAAAAACACATAAAAACAACAACAAATCCCAATTGTAACATTATCTACACACTAGAAAGCAGGTAGTGTGACCTATCATCTATGAATGGGACACCTAGATGTGTTCATCTTAATTATGAAATGTAATGCTATGTATTTTGGAGAAATAATCATACATAAAACTAATAAATTCGTCCTAAGCTCCATAAATGCATGTGCAAGGACTTTCCGGAACACTCCCCAGACATGAATTTTCCAAACCGTCAACTACGCCCTCTGGCAGTGGTTAGTGTGCCCCTGGGGCCCCGATGACCCACCAGGTCAGGGGCCCCTGCGAACACATACCTCCGCTGACGTGGACTTCGTAGAGGGTGTACTTGGGGGAGGACAGCATGCGCATGTCAGGGCGGAACTTCTCTGCCAGGGTCTCGATCACATCTTGAGTGGTTGCAGTGCTAGACACGCGAATACATTTTGTTGCAAAGTTTCCAGCAGCTTTATCTTGAAAATAAAATCTCATCACTCCATGGAACTCCAAATCCTAAAACAAAATGACACATTTTTGGAAAAACATACTTTGAAAAGATTCACTTTTCATAACAATAATAAACAAAAAAGGGTTATCACTTTTTTAATGCTTTGCACAAACATCTGAGACTGAAATTAAGAGATGGATTTTAGTCTCCAAGTTTAATTGCATGATATGAGGCAAGTTGGTTACATTTTCTCTTCGCCTCACCTCTCATGTTTTATAACCAGTTGAGTATAGAGCAGTGGCATCAACAACAGCAAGAGCCAGGCACACCACAGCATGTATTCATCCTTTAAGTAGGTCTTTATAACCATGGAGGAAGTAGATACCCACACCCGTATCTAAACGACCACCTAGGGCTGGAGATTCCACGCAGGGGTGGGTCCTGGTTCGATCCCTAACACCAGGGAGGTGAAGAGGTCCAGTCATTGGAATCATGAAGTTCAGTCCATTAGGGTGGAGTAAACATATAAACCACAGGAAACACAGAAACATATAAGCCATACACAGCTAAAGCAGAAAGCAAGGCAGGAAGGCCCATTTCTGGTTCGATGGGCAGGAGGATGGCTCCCACAACACTAAACCACAACCTCTGGGAGTTGTGGGGCCACAGCACAGGGTGGGGGCTGGAGTGGCCTCGGTAGTGGGGCCACAGCACAGGGTGGGGGCTGGAGTGGCCTCGGTAGTGGGGCCACAGCACAGGGTGGGGGCTGGCCATCCCAGCAGCTGCCTCTCTGACCAGGCAAAACAGCTAAACAAGGTACACTGACCAGTCACACTACTTTCCCAAGGAGAGCTGAGATCCAGCCAGCATGAACTGCCAGCCCTGGACCCTGCTCACTGTGCTTTTAAAGCGAGGATGACAGAAATTATACTTGACTTTACAATAGGTGCAGGAGTGGTTTGAGAAGAAGTGAACGGATGGGTAGGAGAAAGAAGTCAGAGGTTCAGAGCTCAGTGACTGCCACCACCACTCACCTGGACAGAACTAGCACTAAAGCAATGGGACGCATGCGAAATGGAACCAGAAGCTAGGTCCACTCTCACCACCACCGCAGGCCTGTCCATGTGTGTCAGCTACACAACACAGACACAAATGTCAACACAACAGTTTTATGTTTGTTTTGGTGCTGATCTGAGGTTCAAACTCAGGGCCTGGGCCCCTGAGCTTCTTTTGCTCAAGGCTAGCTTTTTTGGTAGTTTCAGTGGAGCCAAGCGTCTAAGTCTTAGACTTTCCTGCCCTGGCTGGCTTCGAACTGCAATCCTCAGATCTCAGCCTCCTAAGTAGCTAGGATGATAGGAGTGAGATCCTAGTGCCCAGTTCAACAGTTGCATTTTTGACTGAGTTATATAACAATCATATGAAATTAAATCTCCTTTATTAAAAAAAAAAGTGAGCTTTTAGTCTAACAGTGACACTCTCTTTGCCTACAAAATACTGTCCAGTGGGCAAACAGCCTCTCTTAGGGTCTACCAGCATCAGCCACAGGAAAAGAAAAAGGAACCTTGGGCAAACTCTTCAAATTGTTCATGACTGACTATATGCTCTATTTCTTCAATGGCAATATTTTATTTAGCCCAAATCTGTAGACAGTGTACATCTTTGTGCTCTTCATAATAACTAGTAAAGAGATTTAGTTGAAAAAGGATCGCTCACTCCCAAAATGTCACTTCCTACCACCCATTAATTCAAAGAAGAGAGGGGATACTGCTACTTGGCCTGAATTGGCCCCTACAAGATGAACAGGTTTTCCTCACAGCCTTCTGTACCTGCCTCTGTACAATTCAGACTGTGAACTCACTGGAACCAAGGGCTGCTTAGATCTACTTGCCAACTCTGCACCTGTCCAGTAATGAGTACTTAATAAATACTGGGGGAATGAAAATGACTTGGAAAAAAAAAAAGCGTGGTCAAACACGGTCCAAATACTTGTAATCCTGGGACTCTGAAGGCTGAGGCAGGAGGAACACAAGGCCAGCCTAGTACACTATTGAGTTAAAGAACTAGAGCTCAGTGAGATTCTATCTTTTGATATATTATTATAGTATATTACTTTAAGGGAAAAACTTCACAATGTTCATTATTTAGTGTGCTTAGAAGATCATTTGGCTCACTTCAAGTAGTTTGTGAAATTAACTTGATTATGATCTTCTAGAGGTCCAGATGAAAAACCAGGCCTATGTTTATTTTCATGGTAGTACTAGTTTACGTCACCTCAAATGCTTAAGTAAACTATCTTAAAAAAAACTGTGCTGCGTAACTTAATATCAACATAAAATTAGACTTATCAATGACATGGAAACATACAGGAAGTCAAAATACACCACACCACTGGGACAGCTGCCTTCAGAACAAAAAACTTACAAAAGCTTCGTTTAGATTTAATTTGTAAATTTAAGAAAATATTAAAATAAGAAGCCGCATAAAATTGTTCTTCTTCTGCAATTTAAAGGCATTGATTTCTTTATTTACTTTTCTCCTATGAGGAAAGAGACAAACAAGAAAGAGCAATAAAAAAAATATGGAAAAGCCAAAGATAAAAAAAAAAATGAATGGGCTGGGAAGGTGGCTCAGTGGTAGAGTGCTTGCCTTGCATGCCTGAGGCCCTGGGTTCAATTCCTCAGTACCACATAAGCAAAAAGAAAAAAGCCG